GAAACAATATATACATAGTAATATAAGTTATATGATATTTGAATTTAACAACCTCTCATTCGTATATTTGTTATATGTATATAAATCAACCTATCAAATATGGGATTTGTAGCGCAAGTTAAATCCGTTTCTTAAATAGTATAGAATAGTTTTAAATTTCAATTTGCCAAATTTAATTAAACAAATTCTCTTGATTAAATCTAAAAATTAGGTTTCTTAAGTGATTCTAAATTCACACCAATATTATTGTAATAGATTCTCTATTAAGCTTTCCACTTTTAATCATTGAAGTTATTTAATTTTCTTAAAAATTCCATATTTTAATAGTAGAAACGTTTAAATATGTATTTATTCTGTTTTCCAGTTACTCTAACCGTATTTCACTCTTCTTTTCCTTTGACATACATTTCATTTATTACATAATTTAATTAATAATAGATGATAACTATGAGCATCTGCAGCATTTGACGACTCATAAAAAAATTATCGAACTTCCTTTATTTATATCATAGGATTTCAACTTCCTTTTCATCCATTTCTTTTCATATATTGTTGTATGGTATTTATGTTTTCATATATCTAGAATTTATATATTGTTGTATTGTATTTATGCCTACTTATACTTAAATGATAATTTTCACAAAATCCTGCATCATAATTCGAGCTAACAAAAGATGTTTCTAACACCTTGGTGCAGATCAATCTTGAATAGGCAGTTTATTTTCCAATCTAGTTTCAGGTTAATTATTTTTAAAATTAACATCTTTAGATTAAATTGTGTATAAAATTAATTATTTTAAATTATTTTTAAAAATATACGATAGTTCTCCCTCCTTATTAGCAAACCTTTGTGGTGTGGTTGTCTGCACGCTGGGCGCGTATTCCAGAGGTCCACGGTTCGATTCCCCGCAAAGTCGTTGCTCATTTTCATCTCTCCCGCTTCCAATTAACCTAATGTCTCTACAGTAGCGCCCGAACTAAAAGGGTGGTGGATGATCATTCTCCACACCCAGGATTTGTCGATTGGGTCCCCTAAACACCAGACGCCCTTTAAAAGGAGAAGTATATAAGGTATTTCTCCCGCCTTCTTAGCATGCCTTGTTGGTGTGGTGGTCTGCACGCTGGGCGCGTATTCCAGAGATCCGCGGTTCGATTCCCGGCGAAGGTGTTGTTCATTTAATCTCTCCTGCTTCAAATTTACCTAATGTCTTTACAAAGAAAAATGATCGCTAAATCACGTTGTTTTCCTATTTATAATATAATTCATTTATAAGTGTTATAAAATTTTTCGGCTTTATTAGAATTAACAGTAAATACTCCTACTGCTATACATTTAGATTACAAGGATTTAAATTGTCACTTCCTTCTTCACTGATGCTTTTATGTTATATACCTAATATTTCATAGATAAGTTTAACTCATTTACCAAACATGTAAATCTATAATTCAGCATGCTTTTTATGTGTAGGAAAATTGTATCTTTTCTTTCCTTTAATATATTTTTCAACATAAAACATCTGATCAGTTTAATTTCAAGAGGTTGTACAACCAGGCGATAAAATCGCTTAACATTGGCAATTCGACCGAAATTTCAAATCCTAGTGATACCCCAGCTCTTTCTTTCTCTATAAATATTTAAGACGGAAAATTACATTGTAAAACTTCAGTTTACGAAGTAAAAAATTTAATGTTCAAAAGTACTACAAAGTTTTATTCATTGGTAATTTTCACCTTTACCTTAGCATATCGCTTTGCAAATCCCATTAATAAGAAAATAGTAAGTAAAGAAATAAACTCGATTTCTTTGATTTCATACCTTGATGCAAATTATACACATGTTTTTCTAAAAACACAGACTTTATACGGGTATCAATAAATTACGGAATATTACTCCATCTAATTTGCGTAATATGTTTATTCCGGAACTATACATTAGTAACGAATAATATTGTTCGAACACCACTTAAATATATTAAATTTTCCGGTCTAGTTAGACACCATGACTATTATTATCAAAGAAAGATATTAAATCAATGATAGCATTAACAGATGTAATTTATAAGAACAATAATTCGTATGCTTTACATTTATCAAATTTATAATACTATTATAACACTATTCTTTCTAGTATTGTAATTGCCAACCAGCGGCCGAGCGGTAAAGTCGCTGAACACTGGTAGTTCGGTCCGAGGTTCGAATTCCGCGAACGGGGCTGGCTGTATGGGCGTTTTCGTAGTTTTTCCCATGTGTAACGTGTATACGAGCCAGTTTCCCTTAGAAAGTCCTCCACAAAGGCATTCCTCCCATTAGGCAGATAGCCCTCGAGGCTTTGCGATAATCACACACACACTAGTATTGTAATTAATGAGATGTGTTTCCAATGCTAATATGTGTGTTTGCTAATACCTTTTATTTTCTCTGCTAGCTCTTGCATTTATTTTTATTATTCAAGTAATTAGCCTACTTAGATAAGGAATATCTAATCTTATTAGATAATAATTAGTATGAATTACAAACAAAGACTTTATTATAAGAATAATTACAAGAAAGAATAAAAACGTAATATTAGTAAAGAATTTGTTCTTGTGATGTATAATCTTATTTCTGTATTTTCTTTTCCTGTTGTCTGCTTTTGGCTTCGAAAGGTAAAACTGGATATTAACCCTTAGCTTTTTAACAGGGAGGGTCTTCTTCGGAATGAGGTTGTTAAATTCCCTGGCAGGCAAAGGGAGAAAACGTTATTCGCGCAGGTAGGCTGTGAGCAGACAAGGAGGGGGGGGAGACTTTAATTCGCGCAATTGTGTCATACCCAAAAAAACAATGTTAAATATAGCCATCAAATTTTAAAAAACGTAGGCTTGCACCTGAACATGGGCACGCAGATGCCCGAATTTTGAATTTCGAATTTGTTTTATACTATTTCATACTTGTAAAACTAACGAATTTTGATTAATAAACTCGACGATTTAAAAGCGAGCAAAAAAAAAAAAAAAAAAAAAAAAAAAACGAAAAATGCATGCTGACACTTAATGTTGCAGCAGAAATTCTAAACGTACACTGCTTTTAATTTTGTTATAATTTTGCTGTTGACTTAATATATGGCGTAAGTGCGAAGAAAATTATGCTTAAGAATAAAGCTAGAAAGACAAAAAGAATGGGTTAGAAGGAATGAGTATTGCAGCAGACTGGTAGTTTGTGAACTGAGCGAGAGCATAGAAAACCTTAACAAACTTTTTAGGCGACCATTAAAAATCTGGAACGTTTCAGATTTTTTTATTTGTTTAACCTCTGTTACACGTAGTTTTAGTTTTGTTATGGTATTTCCATCGAACATGCGACGCCGACTTTTTAATTTATGATGAGGTATATTTTACCGGGCCAACATATGTGACTTTAATTAGATTATCTTCAGTAAGGTTAACCTCAATCTCCGTAGATAAATCATCAAGCTCGTACACCATCACTAACATTTTAGAATGGATCAGTATACGAATCCGAAGAAGGTACCCATCATGATCTGTCTGCAGTGCTGAAAGTTATATAGGTGGGAAAAATGAAAACGTCCTCCAGGGCCTAATTTCTTCATCTGTGACAGTAAATTCCCTGATGAAAAGCGCTTTTTTCTATCTGCCCTGTAATTTATCACTTTAGTTTTAAATTTATCTTAAATTTATCACATTAGTATTTTATAAAATTAAAAAGTATCACATTGATAATTTAAATTTTATATAAATTTAATGCTATTTAAAATTTATCACATTACTTTTGAAGCACTTTTCATATCTAAAATCTCCATAAGATAATGTGTTTTGAAGCTCTAATGGGTGTAGAAGGTCAAAATTCAGCATATCTTCAGATGCCAAATACAAAAAACCTCTTCATGGCTGCTAAATAAGAATAACGTTCTGGAAATACCTGTAGTCACACTATTTTAATTTTTCTCCCCCAGCGTCATGTACGTTTTTGGGAGCTATGACATCACTACTTTTTGTACATTTTTTAGAAAGAATTCTGCTCTACCAAACATTTATACCAGGAAAGCAGTGTAGACTTTCTATTGAATGATTAATCACTCCCGTTTAAACTTAAACGTAAGCAAAATTTAGTGCTATTGTTAGCTTCAAATAAATAGCGCTCAGAGTGATTTGACGCGAATCTGCTGAGGCAAAGAATGAAACATTATTATGAAGGTGTATTGTCAATCTTTATGCATATCAACTACTGGTTGAAGACACATTTTCACAAGGATGCTTACCTCATTTATGCATATATGTTTCTAACTTTATAAAAAGAACCTTCATAAAAGTCTGTGCGCAGGACCTAATTTCCGAAATGCAAATTGTGTGTACGTCAGATTACCACTTTCAACGGATGTCGAGGCTCCTAAACCTCAATTTAGTATTTACAAATATGTAAAACTATGTATGTTTTTAATTCTAAGATATTTATTACAATCGAAAACTTAGGGGAAAAAAACCTTTTGTAATAGATTTTCCACGGTGTCTGGTTTCATAAATCGGCGCCTGTCCCGGTACCATCCAGGCAGATGCTTCTTTACCAAAAAACTGATCTTCATGGACATTTACGTTATTTCCTGGAATTTTACTTATTGTACTTTTACTTCATGGAATTTGACTTTTTTCATGGACTTCGAACTTTTTTAAAAACTGATGTTCATGGACACGGACATCTTTAGTCAAGGTTTTTTCAGTTTTTTCAAACGAAATGACATTTCATAGATAGCTTCATAAAATACATAGAAACTTGAAATTATGGATCGTTTCATGTTCAATTTCACCTGCTTTGACATCTGCAAAAGTGATTGCGAAAAACAATAAACTTTGGCATATGATTTATACAGTGGAACTTCCATAATAGATCAGAATTTTTTTTTAACTTATTTTTATTTTTTGATAGGCGATAACACAACAATCATCTGCATCTGTCGTGTAAAATTTAAATACTTTTATTTGTTTAAAACTGGCAACAGACTGCTCTGTTGATATTCTTGTCCAAATGCGCGAAGATGAAAATTTTTGTCTGTTCCATGTGTAGCCAGTTTAAAAATACTCAAAAGTTTCAGATCTTTCTTTTATGTTACATCAATGATTAAAAATGCAAGAAAGTGGAGAGAAAAAAGTAAATATTATGTATCAGAAATATAGAAAGCTTTTAACTGGTACTTCATTGCCTAAGGGACAGGTAATTTATTTTGGATTATAATAAATACCGTATATACCCGCGTATAAGTCGAGATATTTTGGACAAAAAAAAAGACTTCAAAGTGGGGGGGGTCGACTTATACGCAGGGCCATAAAAAATTAAAAGAATCGGAAGTTCAAAAATTTCTTTATAAATGCAGTTGTTTCTTCCCGCACTCAAATTGGACGATATCAATAAGTCACTTACTTGAAGTAATTTGATTTAAATTATGCGACGAACTAAGCACAGAGTTTCATACTTTAACTAGAGAAGTTCGATTTTTTAAACCAAAGAATTTTCGGCCCAAGAACAACCGATCAATATCGAGCAATAAAAACACTTCGCCAACACTCCAAGAAAAGAGAAATGCAGATAGTTTTCACGTACGTATAAATCTTTATAAGCAGTAAGCTTCGTCTGTTGATCATTTTTAAAAGAAAAACGTTGTGTTTCCATTAGGTGTGCTGGTTCGCGCCCATGAAAAGGGATGGATGGATGCTGACGGAACAGTCGATTGGCTTAAAAATGTGTGGGATAAAAGACCAGGAGCAGCTTTCAAAAAACCTTCTTAGTATACGATTTCTTTCGTGGAACTTTTCTGAAGTGACAAACACCTAAAAACGACTGTGGCCGTAATTCCGGGAGGATTGACATCCGTCATTCAACCCCTAGATGTCTGCCTCAATACTCCCTTCAAGTAAATGTTAGAAAATATTGGGCCAAAGTGGATTAGTTCCGTTTGACCAACATTTACAAAAGGAGGCAACATAAAAAGCCCATTTACGTTAATTGCTCAGTGGGTTAAGATGCTTGGAACGAAATACCTCTGAATGATTATAAAATCATTTAAAAATGTGTATTACAACGAACTAGACGGCATGGAAGATGATGCTGTTTTTGAAAGTGAAAATGACGACGAGGCTCTAGTAGTGATTGTAAAATACAGAGGCAATGACGACAGAAGAGTTCTATGAAATGTTGGCGAATCGGACGTTGAAGGATTTGATTTTGTTATTTACCAAGGTATTTTTTATCGTATATTTACTTTTTTTTTTTCTCAGATAATTTTGAATAAATGTAGTACTTAAAAAATTTTTTCGAAGTTTCTCAATCGATTTCGGAAGTGGGAGGTCGACTTATACGCGGGTTTCTTATTTTCTACGAATTTTTCATGTTGAAGTGGGGGGTCGACTTATACGCGGGTATATACGGTACTTCTTTTTTTCGGGAGAAAGTGTCACGAATTCTGATGTTTTATTATTTACATTACTATTTTTAAGGTTTTATTTTTAATCAGTTTCAATAAAATGATGAAATTATCATAAATTAATCTCTCTCTCTCTCTTTTTGTTTTTAATTGAAGTAAAAAGAAATTAAATTTTATGAACAAGCCACCATGTAGAGTTTAACGCAAAAGTTTAGAATTTCCATGTGCATATTTTCACAGGAGACGCAGATTTAAAAAAAAAAAAAAAAATTATTGGCTTTGAAATTTATACAAGTACTTTATTATAATATCTCTTCTATTTAGCTAATCTGAGAACTGTTTGATGTGGGATAGTTCCAGTAGTCTCTTACCTTGCCTGATTTTTCCAAATGATATATTATAACTGAAAATCATCTAAGAAGTATTTATACATCAGTAAAAGTATATTTTAGTGTACCCCTTGGTGATTTTTGCCCATACATGGATACCGAGTTTGTGTAATTCTTTGACTTGCTATTTTGGCTTGCGTCCAAAAACCGCCTTTACACAAAGCAAAAATAATAAGACAAAGAATTGCACAAACTCGCTATCCATGTACACATTGACTGATTTTCACTTAAAAAAACATCCCAGAATTGCATAAAAATGACATTGGGCATTCCCTTGACGTTATCCATGTACACATTGACCTATTTTCACTTAAGAAAACATCAGAGAATTGCACAAACTAGGCGCAGAGTATGTCCATGTACACATCAATATATTTTCACTTAAAAAGTCAAAGGAGCACCCAGTTCTATTGTAGAGGCAAACAAAAATTACACAATTTTAATAAACTACATTTTTAACCAAACAATAAAATACCATAAAAAAGGGAAAACCTGTTATGCATTTAAGCACTACACAAAGCAAATATCCACTTACCTTATTTAGAAATTCCTTCGTGTTCAGTCCGCGGCACACAAAATTCCTTAACAGCATCCAAAAACTTCCTACAATTATCTGAACTAGAATCCATATATCAGCATCGCCACATAATAACAGTAAAAAATATGATACGTATTCCGGACTGTCCGGAAAATGGCTACTAAGTAAACCTTCATTTACACACCAGTCAATGCATGTTTCCCCTTTCGTTCCAAATCGTACAGAAACTTCAAATTAATCTTACTACATTCAGCCATTCTACCATCTAAACAATAAAACAAGTAGTGTACTTCCTAACCACACACACTGCAAAAGTCCTTACAAAACATCCCATGATTCAAAATTTCCTGGAATAATACAAACGATTACATCATAATAAGGTTTCCATAACATTCATCTACTCAGGTTACCATAAATGAAACAACTTTTCGATAAATGAAACAGCAACTTCGCGATAATACAAGGGGTATTCTAAAGTCAACTGTAACCTACAGGGGTTGGACAAAAATATGCAAACACCTTAAAAAAACATGTTTCTTTGCTTAATATGGTGTAGGAAACCCGTTGGCATCCAAAACAGCTTGCAGTCTTCTCGGAATGGATAAATATAGTTCCTGTATGTTTGCCAAGGGAATATTATACCATTCTTCCTGCAAAACGGTGGCAAGTTCAGGTAACGATGTTGGCGATGGATAACGAGAACGCACTTTCCATTCCAATGTAGACCACAAAGGTTCGATAATATTCAGGTCTGGTGACTATGGTAGATGGGACAACTCATCCTCGTGCTCAGAAAACCAGTCCTGGACAATGTGAGCTGTGTGAACAGGGGCTTTGTCATCTTGGAAGACACCATCACCATTGGGGAACAAAGTTTGTACCATGGGATGAACTTGATCGGCCAAAATGTTCACATAAGTCTTGGCAGTCATGTTCCCTGACACAGTTATCATGGGGCTAGCAGAGAACCACGATATGGCTGCCCAAACCATAACAGAACCCCCGCCATGTTCACTCTTGGCAACAAGCAGTCTGTATTATAGGCTTGAGATGGCGTTCTCCAGACGTAAACTCGGCCAGAAGTGGGAAACAATGTGAAAGAAGACTCGTCAGACCGTATTACTTGCTTCACTGCTCTATAGTCCAGGCTTTATGGACTTAAACACCACCTTTTCCTGTTTGGGCATTAGCATCACTGATGAGTGGCTTCTCAATTGCAGCACGGCCAGCAATTCCTGTTTATGAAGCTCCCTTCTAATGTTTTGGTACTCACAAGGGTCGGTAACACAACATTCATTTCAGCAGTAACTTTTGCAGCTGTGGTCTTCTTATTTTTTGTCACAATAGCCCTTAATGATCATCTGCCACGATCACTCAGGACACACTTTCGTCCGTGCTGTGATTTAGCAGATGATGTTTTTCCACTTTTTAAGTATGCGGAATAAATCTTTGATACAGTACCTCTTGAAACACTAAACACCTCGGCTACCTTGCTTACAGAAGCACCTACCATACGTGCTCCAACAATTTGCCCACGTTCGAAGTCTGTTAACTCTGACATAATGCAATGACAACCTCACATAACAGTACATTGACAACAACTGAACTGTTTAGCACATTTACGAAGTTGTATAGGTGGCGTCAGTAGTCAAAAACGCCAGCGCCACCTACATATTTCATTAAAATCAATCTTTCTTTTCAAACATGCATTTCACAAGGTGTTTCCATATTTTTGTTTAACCACTGTATATATCTTTATGTTTGGTGTTACAATACTTTTCTGTGATGTGCCTATTCTGTATCTTAAGTAAAGTTTTATTATTATTATTACTAGTTGCTTTCAAGGCCAGCTGCATAAATAGATATTATTGAAAAATACATAAGGATTTTAATGACTCCATTTAAATTAATTTCATTAAGTGCTGCCAGGTCACCCACCTGGATTATAGTTAGTGATGCTGACTGCCATACTGATGGGCCTGTGTTCGAATCCCAAAGAAGGCATGATGTTTGTAAGAACAAGCAAGTTTGCTATTTTTATCTCTGTGGCAACGGGTCACTCAAAACACAGTATGAGCCAAAACTCCTCGCAAGAATTTGGTGGTAGGAGAAGAAAAGTGCAAAACCCTCAGACCATCTGCCAAAATGTTCTTCTTCAAAAATTGGAGTGGAACTGCACAGTTTTTGCGGCAAGATTATACCTTGGTGAATTTCTAATAGCCTGCCCACTTCTTCTGCACCTGTAGCATAATTTCATAAAATATTTATTAATTTTATTAATAAACAAAAAGTATTGCTTATTTGATCAGATGCTCTGGTGAAAAATTGTAGAGTGAACAGTAATGAATACTTCAGCTCATTGTATAATTTATTTAATTTGGCAATTAATTATGCTGCAAAATGAGTTAGAAGGAAGAAAGATGTTTTAAAGCATTTTATTTTTCATTTTTCAAAAGCATTTTATTCTTTAAGAACGAAATATGGATCAGCTTATTTCTTTCTTTCAGATCTTCTCTATTATACGTATTATTGGTTAGCCTATATTTAAGGGTGCCCCTTGGATTATCACCAAGTTGTTTCATTTATGGTAACCTGAGTTGTTGAATGGGTTAATCTTTGGATTATGGTAACTTGGCAATTTTTTTGGCAAAAATTTGGTGACCAACACTGCTACAGCAACCTGCTAGTTTTTGTTTGGACACCATTTTGTTTTCACGAAGTAAAGGCATGTTTTGTTTTTTTTTTACTCAACATTTCCAACATTTTCTTCCAACAATCTGCTAGCCGAATTACGCTTATGCTAGAATTTTTATGGAACAAAAGTACTTAATCATGACGAAGATTAGGTGCGAAATTGGGACAAAGTGCAGAATCGCCCACTGCTTGCCGCGTTTTTATGAATTTCACATCACAGTATGTACACATCGACCTATTTTCACTTTAAAAAAATCCCAGAATTGCACAAAAATGGCATTGCGCACACTCTTGACTATATCCATGTACATTGCTAAAGTCCTAGCTAGTAACCTTTATCACCTTACCAAAATGTCACCAAACTACCTGTTACCATATTCCAAAGATTAGCCGTTGAATGTTATGAAAACCCTATTATGACGTAATTGGTTGCATGACTGTGGTGAATTTGACTGATGGGAAAAGATTTGTAAGGGCTTGTTTGTGTGTTGGATGTTGGTTAGGAAGTATGTTGCTTATTTTGCTGTTTACATGGTAAAATGGCTGAGTGTGATAAGATTAATTTGAAGCTTCTGTATGATTTGGAATGAAAGGGGAAAAAAGCAATAATTGACTGATGTGTAAATGAAGGTTTACTTAGTAGCCATTATAAATGTCCTGTTTGTATAAAGGTAATGTGTATGGCTGTATAAAGGTAATGCGTTCAAATGGGTTTGTCACAAGAAAGGTTTAAATGGTTAGCAATATAAAGCATAAAGCATTCTATTAGAAAGGGAACATGTTTTGCGGAAAGTTTTTGGGTGCTGTTAAAGAATTTTGTGTGCCATATATGTCTGTTTGGAGGATGAAGGTTTTCAACATCTTGCTGTGAACTATAAGTATGATTTTAAAGATCCTGAAACAAGTGCACATACGATTGCTTTTTATTTAGCGGAGAAAATAAGAAAAGTTTATCTGCCACGTAATCAAGATTCTGAAGAAGATTAGGTAAGTTAGTATTTTTAATTATTTGAGGATATTATTTTTATGCATTGTTCTAAATGTAAGGAGTAATAAATTAATATGGTATTATTGGAAAAATTGTTATTAGCAATGATTTAGTTTAAATTGGGATTGTAAGCTAATTTTTATTAATTTAATGTATGTGCTTATTTATATTTTAAGTAGTGTTTTTTAATTTAATTATATTTTAAATTAAATGATAGTTATTTTGTGAATTATATGTTTGTAGCAATTTGGTATATGTTTCAGTGGAACTACTCTGATATGCGCCCTCAAGTCGCCAAATTTCTCGCTAAATATTTTTGGCGAGAAACTTCACGCTGCCATATTACTATCTAAATTTTTTGTCTACATTTTGAACTTTTAGCCTAAAATGTCTCCAAAAACGCGGTTTTCGCACATGCAAAATCTATGTTTTGAACACACAATTTAGCTAAAAATCCGAAACAAAAAAAAAAAAAAAAAAAAAAATTTAGATAGCAAAAACGTAAAGTTTCTAACCAAAAATATTTGACAAGAATCCATGTACACAGCGACATGTTTTAACTTAAAAAAACATCTACGAATTGCGCAATGTAGGCAACGAACGAATCTACAAACTACACACACCTCGCTTTAATAAATTAACATAACAACAATATATTTCAAATAATACCATGTACACAGCATCCTGTTTAACTTAAAAAAAAATTCTACGAATTGCACAATTAGGCAAGGAAGGAATCTACGATCTACGCACTCCTCGCTTTAATAAAATAACATAACAACAATAAATTTCAAATAATACCATGTACACAGCGTTCTGTTTTCAAAACTTTAAAAAAATATCTACGAATTATACAGGCTAGACACTAAACAACAAAATAAAACTAAAATAAATTTCAAACAATTTAAAAAACACAACAATAACGACAGAAATTCATACTAAAGAACCAATGAACATAACATTCTACAAAATAAGAACAAAGATAAAATAAAATGCACTTACCATGAATGAATGCGTTTCTTTCGAACAGCAGAAATATAAATTTCATACGCTTTTAACATGCCGCCACGTAATCACTATCGTATTTATATGACAGCCAGACTCACTATCCACAAAATTTATACTATGGTTCACAAATAAATGTTCAAATCCTTCTTTTCCCAAATCCTTGTAGGATTTTCAGCTATCCGAAAAAATAGTTGTACCAGCCTCAGTCCACTCTTCTAATACACTGCATCAGAATTTTCTTACTTGTATCATGCACAGCCGCCATAAATAATATCCCAGACCCTCTTTCCACACCTTCCAAATACCCACTATCCCTCAACAGGATAGCCACAATCATATTTCCTTTTGCCGAACTTCAATTCAACAACTACCATTTTATCTTTCCCTCCCAACTTCTCAGACACAGAGGCGAACTAACGAGCTCCAGCGAAAGATTTTTCAACGTCAACAGGTTTGCCATAGAACACGCAATCGCGCCAAAAACCAGCGCAGAACACATATCGCCACATTTGGTGAAATTAGGGCGTATATTAGAGTTGTACCGTTTCAGTGGAGGTAACCGTGGATGGAAATAATTTAAATATTTGACACTAAGTATTTGCAACCATTTTTAATATTTGCGTTATAAATTCATTGGTGACGTTTATAATAGATAATTTAGAGGTAAAAGTTTTTGGATATTTTATTTATTTTATACATGCAAATGTTCATCCTTGGAAAGGGTATATACTTTTTCACGATCAGGTAATTTCATATATGTCCTTTTTACCGAATTTAAAGATTCACAAAATTTTCATGAATTTTCGTGAAATTTTTCTAATTTATGAGAAAAAAGCAGTGTACATCTGTATAGTGAAGAGTGTGCACAATGCCATTTTTGTGCAATTCTGGGATTTTTTTTTAAGTAAAAATAAGTCGATGTGTACATGGTTTAATTATTTTAATTAAATGATAGTTATTTTGTGAATTAATGTTTGTAGCAATTTGGTATGTGTTTCAGTGGAAGTAAACGTGCATGGAAATAATTTAAATATTTGACACTAAGTATTTGTAACCACTTTTAATGTTTGTGTTATAAATTCGTTGGTGATGTTTATAATAGATAATTTAGGTAAAAGTTTTTGGATATTTTATTTATATTATACGTGGAAATGTTCATCCTTGGAAAGGGTATGTACTTTTTCACAATCAGGTAATTTCATATATGTGCTTTTTACCAAGTTTAAAATTCACAAAATTTTCCTGTATTTTCGTGCAAATTTTTGTAATTTATGAGAAAATAGCAACGTAGATGGATAAAGTCAAGAGTGTGTGCAATGCCATTTTTGTGCAATTCTGGGATGTTTTTTTAAGTAAAAATAAGTCGACGTGTACATGGTTACTGTGTATGTGCGATTCTGAAAAACGCGGCAAGGAGTTTGCGATTCTGCATGTTCTCCCAATTTTGCAGTTAATATTCGTCATGATTAAGCACTTTTGTTCCAAAAAATTTCTAGCATAAGCGTAATTTGGCTAGCAGATTGTTGGAAAATATGTTCAGGAAGTAAAAAGAAAAGAAACCATGTTCTTTACTTCGAGAAGACAAAATGGCCGCAAAAAAAAAAAAAAAAAAAGAAAAGAAAAAAAAAATAGAGGGTTGCTGTAGCAGAGTTTGTCGCCAAAAAAATCGCCAAGTTACCATAATCCAAAGATTAACCGAGATCTTTAACATGACATATGAGTATGCGAAAATGGCCACAACGTGAAACTTTATGTTAACGATGAAACCATTTGGAGGTGCAATGCTAAAAACTGCAAAAGGAAGAAGGGTCTGTGTGTTGGGAATTGGTTCAGCAGTTCCAAAATATTGTTCATCACTGCTATTAGATTACTGCACTTGACTGGAACAGTTATATGCAATAAACTAACAATAATGAGAAAAAGGATTCTTAAAAATATTTTTAATAAACAGCATATGAGTATTATTATTATATACTGTGTTGTTTATTTTTATATTCGCGCTTCACAAGCTTGGTAAAATTATAGTTGAGATCTTTGTGCAATTCTAACACTTCCAAGTATGGTAGGAGGCCACTGTAACAAAGAAGCACCTTAAAATATTTTGTCAGGGTTAATTCTTACTTATTATGAAGTTTTGATTTTTAAATTATCTTTGAGTTTTAAAACTGTAGTTTATATAATAGTTTATTTATTATTTTTTATTGAAATTTAATGTAAACTGCATGTACTACCTTATTAGAGCGGCTACTGAAATCTGTTGCCAAAACTAGCAAATTTAATTGCCTACTGTGTAATAAGCAACTTTTAAATATTGTCAAATATTCTTGTAATCACCACTTTAATAAAGAAGTATGAATATGTACTTTTTTAAATGTAAAATTTCTGATCATTTCTTTATTTTTTAATTAATTTTTTTTAACAGAATATAACTTTAGTTGAATTGGGTGACCTTGTACAACATTTTGATGAATTTCTGGAATCACTTGAAGAGTCACAATTAGAAAAAGAAAATGCTATCATTTCAAATTTAACTGAGCTCATTGTTGATTTTGGTTCAGTTCCTAAGTTTGATCATTTTGAAGATAGAGGTAAGCTATTTATCTTGATTCTTCATATACTAGGTGTCATATATTTTTTGAAAGCAGACTGGAATTGAATTCAATAATAAATTATTAAAGTGAATTCAAATTTTTTTACTTTGTTATCCAAAATGGTATATATAATCAGTGTTGTAGCTAGTAGTAGTGATTAATGTTGTAGTTAGAGATGGGTAGTTTGCCTGGGCAGCACGCTTGTGGAGGTAGTTTATGTTTTCATCTGAAATGTAATTTCATGGATATTTAAAGTTCTGTGGATCATCAGAGCAAAGAAAAACAATTTGAATTTATTGGATTTTGTAAAGCTCATTGTGTTATCTGCTCAAGAGAAGAAATACCTTCATGGAGGACTAAAGTTCTTTACAAAGAAACTGGACACTGGCTCATATTGAGAATATGAAGATGCTGCTGATTTCTGACATAGGGTAAACGATGAGAATACTCATGCAGCCAATCCAGTCTTTTGGATTTGATCACAAATTGATCTATGTATTCAACAGTCTTTTCCATGTTAGTTATTAGTGAGGGAAAGAATTACTATATGCTGAACTGTCATACAGATTTATTTTACACTGGGCAGAGTATTCAAATAAATCAATGAGATTTCAAAAACTCCATACTGTTACATGCGTACAGGTATGAATTGAAACAGATTGAATGCTCACAGAACTGATGATAGCGTGATAAAACTTATCCACCTCTCTCCCCAAGGCAAAAAAAGAAATGGATCTTTTCATAAAAGTACTTGTATAACTCTTCTCAGTATGACAGAGCACAGTCAGTAGTTATCACTTCAAACTACTTAGAATGTTAAAAACAACATAATGCAGAGTGTACTTAAAAGCAAAGCTTGCAAAGAGGTCTCTCAGTACTATAGACTCAAGGCTAACCTAAAAATTGTGAACTGATGCTCTCTCCAGTCTCCTATAGTTTTCACCCGATCACCGAGAAATGTCCAGTACCTTCAGCTTCTTGAAATTGCTGAAGACACACACAGTTACAGTCACATAGTCATAGCACAAGTTACAGTTGAACAAGGGTCAAAATAAAATGTCACCAAATGGTCGCCAAGATGGTGATTTGTCGACACAAAGCAGTTGTCAAAACTATCAGGATTATACAAGAGATACTATAATTTTACATATAATTTCACTAAAATTATTTACATATATGCAAAGTTCATAACAATGTTGCTGTGTATCCACTGAAACTTTTGAATAAAAATATGACTATCAGTTAATTACTAACTCATTTATATAAGTAAGGTAGAATTTCTTACTGAAAAAGAAATACTTGAGAATTTTATTTCTATTTCCAGAATGCATTTTCAGGTGCTTTAATGCTACCATGATTTTTTTTTTATTTTTATTTATTATTATTTTTTATTTTTTCAAAATTACCTTGAGAAGAAATTTTATAGATACAAATTGATTTAGGATTCCCTAAAATGAGGATCTCGTATTTAAGAAATTATACTGTACTCTCTATGGAACATCAAATGAAATAATGAAGCAAATTTCTAGAATTTCACTGATGATTTTATTGACAGAAAAACAAGCAAAATACCATTTTAAAATGCTGGAAGTTTTGTTTTAGAGAGAGAGCGTTTATTTGTTTTCCTGTTTATCCATCAAGCATTTTATACATGTGTGCATTTAGAGGAACAGGAAACTGATCATCCCTAGCAGCAAAATCTTTGGCTGTGCCATTCCGGTAGATCTAATACATAGCATTTTCGTAAATTGAAAAATTCTTATTGATAAAACTGTATGTAGCGAGGAAGTTATTCACTGCAGTCGTGAGTAACTTAGAATATCCAATTTGAAAAATAGTTCCGTATATTACATTTGCATCAGGGCTGTAGTAATATATTTATTTTTATGAATTTAAATTTTTCTCAGTATGAAGACATTATTGACTATAATTTTGCTCTTTAATCCAATGAAAGATATGATTTTTTTTTTTTTTTTTGTTTTGTTTATTAACTTAAAGAAAGTTTCTTGACAAGGCTCAGATTTCAAGAAGTTTTAAATGTTTATGGAGACTTTTTATTGTTATATAGCCCTCATATTATTTATAAGAGTATTTTTCAATTTTTGTGAATCAGAAAAAATAAAAGGGTAGCAAAGAAAGTCTGTTTTTCATTTGAAATATTTTGGATTTTCAAGATCTTTCTATGATTCTTGATTATCAAGTTGCTTTTTTGAAAACAAATAGGAGTAAAAAAAATAGCGAGGGGGGAAAAAAGAAGCGTTTGCAGCATTAGTGTTTTAGTTTATGCAAGTTGGCTTAAAAATGGAGTTATGACTTGCATTACATATACTACATTACATACCTTGGTGCAGTGAAACAGGCGGAATTTTATTCTTGCACTGCTGCAACTATAATAATATGTTCTGTAAAACTGTCCATCACATCGAACCCATGAATATTTGGATTCTGTATAGAGTACAGTCAGTCATATTTTTTCCCTCTTTGTTGAGACTATTAATTTCAAGCACTATTCCGCATTCTCTCCTTCAGATGACCAATCTTTTTTGAATGATTTTCTACTGAATTTACTGCTAGGCGAAGGAAAGACTAGGAGAGAGATGTGCAACTTCTTTCTGCAAAAAATATGTAGATTGTTTATATTTTAACCAATCAACTGTCTGAATTAAAACTTCACCTTTTTAGTTATTATATGGAATACCTATTTTCCTTTAAATGCTAAGTCTTAGGAGTCCATAGTGGTTGGCTCCTTTTTGCCATGTGACAAAGCATAAAATTTGTGCAAAAGAGTCATCCTTTGCAAATATTTTCATGTTTACACGAACTTTAGAAAACTCCAGACGGTACAGCTTGAGTGGGATAAATTTTATTGTAGTATGTAACAGGAATATGTTTTAGTATGAAAAACAATTAGTGTATGGGTGTACAAATAAAAGCAAAAGGTTTTTCAAAATTATAATTTAGCTAAATATAAAAATTAGCATATGACATACCGTATAATTTTCTACCACTCTGCTTTCCATTTGACCAGAGCTATCCATGTTGGTAATTTTAATGATGTAAAATCACCATAGATATAGTTCAGACATCAAAGCCTGGGGCCTTCCTCGAGCTCATTTTCCTGTTGGCTTATAGTTGCATAATAAATGAATTTTCTGCAGTTTAATGAACATGGGTAATAGTGTCTTTTCTTTGTTGTCACATTTACAAGAGCTTAACAACAATACAATACAATACAGTACAAAGTCCGTAATCGGGACATCCATTATCCGGACTGATCTATAATCAAGACCTCAAAGCCACAAACTTATGCATGCGCGTTTGATTCACGTGTCTGCTATGCATGTGTGTAAAGTGTTTACCCCTGCACGCGTCCGATAGTGAAGAAAGTAACAGAGAACATTATTGAAAACGAAAAAATTTCGATTGACAAGTTAGTCGGCATTCTCGACACAGCAATTACGGGACTTGAACAGTGTAACTTTGTAACTGAACAAGAAGTTATGTCTGTTTATAGAATTAAAGAGAAAGTATTAGCACAAAAAATGAAGCAACTTAAAATTATGGTTTCATATTTTTAATTGTATAATTTCTGCTTGCCATCTTACCAGATTTAATTGATGATCTGTAATCCGTAAAAACCCCTAATCCAGAATCGTCGAAGTCCGAGTCCAGATTACGGACTTTGTACTGTACCTCTTTTTTCTTCTTCAATGTAATCGTTCAGTTTTTACAGACAGAGAAACATCCTACAACTATCACATATTCTTCCTTCATACTGCTTTGTAAATGACATCTTTGCTTAAATACTACAAGTAGAATTTGCAGGCTGACAATTGGATGTTGTGAAATCGAAATAGGTTAATCTTGGGCTCTTGTAAAAAACTCTTTATATCTATATTAAAGTATCTTTTTCAGACATTCTGTAGTGCATAATATTCTTGCTCTTTGGTCATTTACAGAAATAAGTATTTTTATTTATTTATTTTTAATGCTGTTTTATGATACCCATTAGGTCCAACATCGTTTAATGGCAGTTTTCAGTTATAGAAATTTTCTTTTGTTTTGTCTAACACTGAATGTTCGCCATAGTTTTGTGACAGTTGGATTTTTCCTCACCTCCAGTCTATTTGTGAAAGAAATTAGGTTTGGTTAAATACCCCAGGAGCCATGCACTGTACTTGAGCTTGAAATTATGTTGTACTATAGAAAACAGAACTTCATTCTTTCTATGCAGAAAACTTTGTCATCTTAACTTATGCTGCATTTATTAGATGATGACACTTTAATAAATAAATTTTGCCTTTCACTGCTATTAGTATCAAACATTAAAAAAATGTGCAGGCAGTGTTAAATGTATTTAAAAAGTGGAAGTTTAGAGAAATAAAGCTACTCTTCTGTTATCGGAATCGAAGAAAGAAATATATGCATGTATCCACGTGTGTATGTAGATATGTGTGTATGCACAGATACACATATATATGTACATATATACATGCATACATGAGCACATATATCCAGACATTCATTTCTGAATCCCGTCCCGAAGAGTATCGAAATAAGTGGTTTTAGTCATAAAAATAGTAGTTTGTCATGTTAATTTTTTAACTATATGATGCTTTTAATTCTAATTTTTTGCAGATATCTTTAAACTGGGTTTATAAGGAGAAGAATTAGAAATTTCTGCACTTCTTTTCTCTAAGTTAAATGAAGAAATGGATGTAAGGATATTGCAAATACCCTTCGAGTTCAAATTTGAACAATCATGGAAAATTATTAGGAATTAGTCATGACAAATGTGTATCTGTTTTTAAATATGCTTTTCTTTTGCTTTCACTTTCTGTAAATAATTTTTTTAAGCATATGGTACTTTTATGTTAAAGAAGTCACTGTACTTAGTTCTCAAAATTAGCAAATTTAATTGCCTAATCTGTAATGCGCAAAATTTAAATGTCAGTAAAGGCTTATGTGGTAATCTCTTTATTAAGGAAGTATATTTTTCTGTTTACTTCTTGCTGAGAACCTAAGTGATCCCCCCTCTGCCTTTTATTTTTTTATTATGTGCTATAAAGTTGTATTTATGAATAAAAAAGGCAAATAATTAGTAATAAGTCTTTATTTTTCAATGTAACATTATCCTTTTTAGGTAACATATTTTAGGTGTTCACATAATTTCAAGTAATGATTTATTACAATAGACCTCAAAATAATTTTTATTGATGAGATATACTACATAAATTAGATCTTAAATATGTAAGCGTGATTGTAAATTATTTAATTGTTATTAGACAAAATATCTATGAGGAAAATGGAACCTAATCTGGATGTCCTTCTATTATTTTTTTTTTTTTAAAATTGATAGAGGATGTACGCTTGAAATGTTAATGTACGATGCAGAAGTACGTTTTATGTTAGTACGTTACAAATAGTTAGCGTAGTATTAAGATTATCTAAATAAATGTTTGTCTTTTACAACCATTTTATGTGATTAATTTAACTACAAAAGGAAGTTAACAAATATTCATGGAGTATGTCTTGGTCTTTTGAAATTTGCACTAAAAATATGTTATAGCATGTATTTCTTGCATTCCTGCTGAAAGTTGTTCGAGACCGATCAAGATTACTAAAGAAAGAAACAAAGCAAAAAATATTTAAATCTTAACAATATTCAATTAAAAATTATTATTCTGTTTTTTCTGAAATAAAATTAGCATTAAAACTTTAACTTTCATGTTTTAATGATATTTATTTGTAATCTATAATCTCCTGCCCATCTCCCAACTATAAAAAAAAGTTTAGAGAATAAGAGAAAGTCATAAAAGCTGTTTTGTTGGAAATTTTGGGAAGTTAGACTAGTCTGAAATTTTTGCGATACTGTGAGTATTAATGTAGGAATGCTATTGTGAATAGCTGCAAGTGTAATAAAAAAAGTCCATGATTATTTAATGTGTGCATTTTTTTTTCAAAAATATGCTTTTGAAATTTCAGATTATGACTCACAAGACTTCCCATACATTGCTGAAAATGCAGTAAAATGTTTTGAATGCCTGAAAGTAATGCTACCTAAAATAATTCAGCTGAATAATTCTGGAAGGTGCCATTTCCTGATTCGTGTTTTAATACTTTGTGGTACACATAACAAGCAATATTTCTGGAGTAGTAAGGATTCGATTTCTGCATGTAAAGGTACTTTTTCTTTTATTTTTCTTATATTGTTAATTTTTAATAGAAGGATCAAGGTCTTAACATCTTTAAATCCCCACTAGAGCTATTGTGATTTTTTTAGGAAGCTACTCAATGAAAGTATAAAAAATTTACATATTACTTTGTTTAAAGCAAATGAACAGAAATGTGGTAATTTTAATTTTTTTTTTTTTTTTTTTTTGAATTGGAAGGAATTGGAACACAAAGAAAACTCATACTAATGCCAATTTCTTCTTCCAATATAGTTTTATTCCAGAGTCATCCTATTAGTTTTAAATAAGACAATGTAGTATATACTGCAGGCTTTATTATCAAGAAATAATGGAAAAATTTATGATGCTGCTCTTAAAAGCAAAATTTCCATTAATTCGAAAGACTCAAATTATTTTAAAAACAAAAGCAGCAGTCATCTCTCTTATGTATTTTTATGCCGTCTTTTTCTGTAATATTATGAATTTGTCATAGCATACATTGAGTTAAATAAAAGGGAACAAATTAATAAAGTATGAAATAAAATGTGTAACTATGCTTTAAGAGGGAAGTTTGAAATTAAAATTATTAACTGGAACTGACAAATTTTATTAAATGTATTTGGCTTCTCTTCATCTGGTAGAAGTTAATTAATCTTTGGATTGGGTTAGTTTGTTGATGAAATTCAGGGTTTTGTGACAGTTTTACAGAAGCAGTGTTATCTACTTGAATTTCTGAAACCTTATATAACTTGGTAACATCATTAAATAGTTAGTTTATATTTTGTTTTTCAGATTTTGATCTTACCAGTGCCACTTGTTCACTTGTATTTCCTTTCTTCTGACTTCTAAATTCTTTTTCATAACAACAAGTTGTGCTAATAACTCATCAACTTTTCACTTCTTTTCACTCAAAAGTAACCAACTTGATTTAAGCAAACGATATTGTTTGGGTAAGACATCTAATATCTTGCAGTTGAGTAATCTAATATCTTTCATGTAGCTTATTTTTATTTTAATTTTCAAGGCCTGAGATCAACTCATTCTATATTCTTTCTTTTTACTTTCTTTCTTTTTTTTTTTTTTTTTTTCTTTGAAAAAAATGAGCTGAGTTTTTTAATATGGAAAACATACATATATTATACAGATGATTTTCTGATAATACATTAAATAACTTATGTAATTCCAACCACACCTCTCTAACAGTCTGATAATTTTCTGAGTACAGTCAAAAGTCGTTAATCCGGACTCGTCGGGACTTCGGCGATTCCGGATTATCGATTTTTTCGGATTATAGATCATCAGTTTAAATGGAAGATGGCATGCAAAAATTATAAAATTAAAATATGAAACCGTAATTTATGAAATAAAGAACAATTATGATCTAAAGGGTATCAAAATTTACAAAAAAAAAAAGCTCAATATTTATTTGTTTTACTTTATTAAACATTTCCTCAATGTAAGTTGCTTTCGTTTCATGTGATAATACTTCTCTTTAATTCTATAAAAGACATAATTTTCTTTTGTTTAGTTACAAAGTTCCGCTGTTCAAGTCCTATAATTGCTGTGTTGAGAATACCGACTAATTTGTCAATCGAAATGTTTTCGTTTTCAATAACCTCTGGGTCACTTTCTTCACTATCAGAAGTGAATTATAATGACGAGGAACTTGATTTAAATCATATCAAAGACAGAATGAAATACACTTAGTATGGAATATAAACCAAAAAAATAAAAAACATCTGCCTGAAGATAAGGATAGTGCCTGACAAATCAACTTCCAATCCGCCGCGTGAAATTGATAAACAGATTTCGATCTCAAAACATACTTGCTTGTAGATACAAATTACATATTAGTAAATATATATGGGAAATTCTGTTTGACATAATCTTTCTATCTATCATAATCTAATAATGACGTTTCTGCCCCCCCCCCCTCTGCCGGAGCAGCCTGAAATTGATAAAAATTTCGGATTTCAAAAACATACTTTCGCTTTGTAGTAAATATATATCGGAAATTCTATTTGACATAATCGAAAGTTCAAGCTTTACTTTTATAAAATTGCTCTAACAGTCTGCAAAAAATAATAAGCCGGATCCAATTCGAAGATTAAGGAACAACGCAATCGGCAACATTAACTGAATTAGATAAACTTTAGCTTAGCGTATAACTCCGTTACAATTTAAACGCGCATGCGCACAAACATATTCGCAGCCGTAAGGGTCTTACGCGCTCTCGTAAACGCCTGTACGCATGCGTGAACGCGACGCATGCGCAGAAAGTTTGTAGCTTTGAGGTCCGGATTATAGATCATTCCGGATTATGGGTGTCCGAATTAACGACTTTTGACTGTAATTTTTTATGTCATAGAATTCATCAGTACCACCATAGCACTTATATTTGCATTTTGGAACTTCTTAACAGCTTTATTGTATTTCTTTTTGTGAGCAACTAAAACATCTATTGGAAGGTCTTCAGGTTTCACTAAAGTTCCTTCAGCAGCTTCTAGAGCACCAGGATATCTCTTATTTTTTATTGCATTTGATAAAACAAATTTTATCCTGTATTTCCATAGATGCCAATCACTTTTGCCTACTAAAGATTTTACTTGGACCTTAGATAATTCTATCCTTTGATTTTCAACCACTTTCAATTATTATGGTAAAAACAAAACACTCACTAGGTTAAACTTAACGAGATTCCTTCTACTCTTAGGGAAAACATCAATTCAAACATTACATTCATGCTTTTTTTTTAAGCATTAAATATCAGTTTTATAAGATGAACCAGCAAATCCATGTTATCCATTACCATATTTCCCCATGTATACAACACCATTTTTCTTTAAACATTTCATGTCTAAAAAGTCGGTATGTCTTAAACAATAGTGGCGCTGTGCCGACAATATTAGATGCAAATGAGGTTTAGCTAATGGATAGAAGTTCTGACAAGTGATGATGAGTTGTATATTAAATAAACATTAATTTTAGTAACTTTATGTAATAATTTTATTCATGTTAAATTGTAATCGAGCATGCCAATAAAAACCAGTCCATAAAGCAAATAATTCTTTATTTTTTTTAATTTTGGGGATCCAAAATGAAGATACGTCTTGTACATGGGGATAAATGGTAGTTTTACATTATTAAAATATATGATTCAAACAACCAAACAAAACACGATAAATTATAATGATTTTTATAAAAAATGATTTGAGGCCTCAAAATAATTTAAGATTTGTGTACACTTTCCTTCCCCCCCAAAAAATTTCTCTTAATTTTTTTTTATAAACTGGCCTCAAAATTTTTTTTTCAAAATTGATTTTTTGGCTCTCTTATTTTTTATTGCATTTAGATTTTAAATTAGGTAGATACATTTAGTTGGTGTTTTAATTATTTTCATTAATTCATATTAATTTAGCTGTAATGGAAAAATACTAGTTTCACCAAAATATTAATTAACTTGAAATACTATAAATGATGTAAGGCAAGTTTGCTTGGAACATTAACAAGAATTCAAACTTGGATTAGCATTGCTTTTATTTCAACTGATCTATGTCTGTTTTCTTTAGAAAGCAAAAAACTTTTCAATAAGAACAGTGTTAATCTAAGTTGAATTTGGATAATTGTAAATGATGTACAGACCCTCCCCACTTTATGCACTTTCACTTAATGAACTTTCTCAAATACAACCAACATGTTCTCAAAGAGCAAAATTTTTTCTAAGTTGAAAAGAAACTAATGTAAAAAGGAGTGTCAAAAAGAGAAATTCAAATGCTGACAATGATAGTGTTAAAAAATGACATGCTAGTTGATTTGAAACAAAAGTTGCTATAATAAGATTTGAAAGTGGTTGGAAATTGTTGAATGTTGCTCATTCGAATAGTATGAATTGTTTAACAATCAAAAGAATTTGTGAAAATCATAATCACATACTTGTATATATCAAAGGTGCAATGCTAGTGTAATCAACAGGTATCAGTTAAAGGTGCATGCCGATGCAATTAACAGACTTGATGCGTCTTGAAGAATAACAGAGGTAGTGGATCAGGAAGAATCTGCGAAAGTTAAAAAGTTCAACACAGTTAATGACAGTAATATTTCCAAGTTTGAAAAAGACTTTATTTTTTTAAAAAACAAATACTTAAATCCTAAGAGAACTGCTAAAGTGTGCTATGCAGTATGCAATATGGTGCTGTCACCTTATTTACAATAGATGAAAAGGAAATTCTGTTCAGAGAAGTTTAGATGCTTTATTAAGAAAATATAGGTTTAAAATTGTCTAAACAAGAATATACTTTAGAAAATCAGTGTTATTTATCCATGTGATATATCAACTCCTTCAACTCTTCATCACAAATGTCTTTTTACATATCTTTGTGAGCCTTCGGTGTATGAGTTTGACATTGGTTCACATCCACCCATGTGAAGAGCCTCCTCATCCTTACCTCATCCATACATGCCTCAAAGAGGACAATCCAAGGTACTGTATAGTAAAATAATTCTTTATTTATTGATATTCTATTCATAATATAATACATTTAAAAATTTAAATATGTTATTTATTTACATTGGTATTTTGAATTGTTTATTTGATAGTATTAATAGCTTGTATCTCATTAACATCATTGGAGATATGGATGGAGAACTTAGTAATATTTTATGAAAAAATTCTTGACACAAACTGTCATTCATACGATAGCTCATAAGGTGGGCAACATCTGTATCTTATTTAAAATCAGGCACTATTTTTATATTTCAAGTTGACATGTTTCTATTTGATAACAAATGCATTTTATTTTATTTAAACTAGGTTATTTATAAAAATATTTTATAGAAATTAATATACTTTTTCTCTCGATGTATTTTATGTTGATATATATTTTTTTAATTAACTAATCATCCTCATTTAATGTTACTTAATATTTTTTATTTATTTATTTATTTATTTTTATTTTCCAGATTTTCAGAATGAACTTTTGAAATATCTGAAATATAAAGACTTACATAGTCTACTCTGTGATGATGCATTTTACCCAACAATTTTTAAAGGAATACTTAAAACAATGAGACCGTCTTTGTTGAAAGAAACATGGATGAGAAATCCAAGTTGTTGCTTTGTCTTCTTTTGGATATTAAGTAATGTTAAAGTAAGTGATCAAAATGTTCATAAATTTTTACTTTTAGCATTTACATTTGATACATAGATAAAAACAAATGTTGTAAAAATGTATGCCAGTGCCATGCAGTATGATAATTAGGAACAGAAGTATTTTTTTTCCAAAGTACTGAAAATAAAAAATAAAATATCAAAGGATTCAGATTTTAACATTGCACATATGCATTTATGAAAGGATCATTATGTTCATTCTGAGCTCACTGTGCTCTTGGACTCATTCCTGCTAACATAACTTTTTTTAGTCTTTTTAACTTCATTATTATGCATCACTTTCTTCACACTTATGCCACATAAAATTCAGCAGCAGAATCACAAAATTAAAAAAAAAAAAAAAAAAAAAAAAAAACTTGCATTTGAAATTTTTTAATACAGTATTAAGTGTTACCATTAATTCTTTTTCTGTCTTTTCCTAATGTCAATGTTAGTAAGATGACTTACACAACTTCTTTTGTCTTTTTAGCTTTATTTATTAAACATAATTTTTGTCATACTTGTGTAATTCTGTAGCTAAATCACAAAATATTAAAAAAAACAGAATATTTGTTGTAAGCTCCATGATTTATAATTGTTAACGCTATTCAACAGTCGTTGTGTTCCTTTTTAGACAGAGTTTTGCTTTTGTAGTTTGGCAACAGTAAGAAAGATGAGAATAAGGTTTTGATTTCCTAAAGTGTGTAAGCAAATAAAGTTTGGCTTTTCAAGTAAGAAAATGCAATTGTTTATTTTAAAATATTTATTTTCAAGTGCTATAGAATGGAATCAGATTTAATTTAAAGACGACTGAATGAAATAATATTCAGGTAGATTCAACGCAACATTAGTGGTGACAACCAGGACGTGATCTCACTGGAATTTGAAGGGTAAATACGGTGAAACTTTTAAGCATGGAATTTTAGTAAGAACATTCGCCTGTTCAAGCTAATTTTACTAAAACTTTTAATACCTTGAGTGATTTATTAAATCAGGAAAAACCTAATGAGGTAGAAATTCAATCAAATTTTACTAGTTTAAAAAAGGATAAATGCTCATTAATTGCATTTGAATGAATGCATAATTAATTTGTTAATAATGTAATAATCAATGTTGTAATAATTAATAATTATTATTATGTGTATGACTCTTGTATTTTCAAGAAACATCCAAACTTTAAAATTAAATATCCCAACTGGTTTTTTTACAGTGAAAGAGTCGCTTATTTTTATTTTTTATTTATTTATTTATTGTGTGTGTGTGTGTGCTATTTTTAGAGTGAATATAAGTTTCTACTAAATATAATTATATAGACTGGAAAACCATATAAAATGTTCATAATTATTACAGCACTGATTTTTTTTTTAAATTTAAAATTACCGTAATGTGATTATTATTACCTTATTTAGAACATTTTTATAACTGAATTATGTATCTCACCAATGAAATAAAAAGTGTATAAGGACTTTTATTCGCATGCTGTAACACATTTAAATACAGAATACTTCATTGCAATTTTTATTATCTGGTACTTTCTTGTGAGTTACATTCGTATATTCTTCAGACATGAGTTTCAAATTATCAATTGTTTTCTCATCAAAAAGCAAATGAACTACTAACAGAATAATTCATAATATTCAGAAACAGTGAAAGAAATTTTATTCCTTGGAAAATTATTTTTTCATAATTCTCTTTGTAGAAATAATCATTGCAATCTGTATTAAGTAAAGAATGAATGTTATAAATCATTTTTTATGAATTGCATTGGATAGCTGAACTAAAGAATTTAAAAATAGTAGTTCTTTTAAGCTTATAATATGGACTGTGAAATGCTTTAAATTTTATTTCAGTGATGTCTATAGTTTTTTATTTAATTTTATTTATTTGTTAGTTATATTTCAAAAGGTTTTTTTTTTTTAAGTGTGCATTCAGGCAATTTAGCTCTCTCCGTCAATATTTGCATATTTCATGCTTCCTTAAATTTAGGTAATATCAATTTAAATTGATGTATCCTCTATTAAATGCTTTAAAATTCAAGTAATTATTAATATTGTGTGTTGCACATTTCAGTAGTGATAGGACTAAGTCAGTTTACATTTGTTCAACAAAATTACTTCTTAAAATATTTTTAGTTCAGGGAAACATTTATTAAAATTAAACTGTAATATTATTTAGAAAGGTATGTAACAAACTAGCTCTTAAAAATTTTTAATCCCTCCACTGCACTGCATAGTAAAATTCCAAAATATTACTTTTGATTCTTTTTAAATAAATGCATTTGAATGAATAATTAATCAACTTTGTCCTTTTCCTACTGAGTGCTAATAAATAGCAACATTGCTACCTTGACTATAAACTGAACCTAGCATAAATTATTATCTATTCATTGTATTGCATAGCATTACTGTGTAGCTTTAATGAAAAAATGTAAGACTGAATAATCCTGCAATATCTGAAATGAAATATTTTGGTATGTATAAATAGTAGTATTTGTTTAAGTTTTTTAATATTAATTTTGATTTACTCTATGTTTTGCAGCATCCTCATTTAGTTGATTATATTCAGGATATTTTTCCACCGCCTTTCATGTTTACTTCATATTATGCAATCCCACAAAAAGTTATTGGAATTCGTTGTTTTGATCACATACTTGACAATATTGTAAGTAAATAAAGAATCTTGAAAAGTTGTAAACATAGTCTATGTTAATCTTGAAAAGTTGTAAACATAGTCTTCTTCCCCTATATAATATATATATATATATATATATATTATATTTTTTTTTTTACAGCCACCAAGCCTTTTGAAACTGGATGGGAAAGAGGATGTCATCTACCATGTTCTTAAGCCTATTACTTATTCAAGAGAACTTCCTGTGATTGAAGTAGTATTTCCATGCATTTTAAAACTGCCTATGATGAGACAACAGAAGGTAAGTCTTCATTTCAAGTATTTTAAAAAATAGTGTTGAAGGCACATAATGATAGCTGAACATTATTCTATAATCGGTGTGCAGATTCACGCATCTATGGTTGTTTGTACGTTTTGTTTTTGTGGCTAATGCTGAGACTTGGGGTAATCAATAACTACATAATAATAATTTCTTTTCACTTAGATATCAGACAATATGCATCTATTTTGTCACAGTGTAAAATGCTTTGAAAAGTGTTTTACATTGTGCCAAAATAAAAATGAAGATGAGGCACAAGAGAGATTCATAGTTTTACTGTAGCATCAATGATATAAAAATGATTATTTCTGGTAGTACAAAATTAAGTGTTTTATGTCATTAGTTTGCATATTAATACTTTTCATACGTTTGCATATTATTACTTTAATTTCTTTTGTTAAAGCTGCTATTTGCATTACAGATTTATTCATTTAATTCATTAGATATGAACTGTATATAAATGGTATGACTGCATAACTTATGAGAACTTAACAGATCATATATTTTATATATGTTATATAAGGCTGATAAAAATAATGTATGATTTTTAGCTTGCCAAAATTTAAATGCACAGAAATATGCTAAAGTATTCTGCAATATTTTATATATATATATATATATATATATATATTTGTATAATCTTGATACCTCACTTTCTTTACCAACTTTACTGAACACTTCCATAAATTTTTTGTTGATAAATGATATCATATGATAAACTATGTGTCCATTGTATTGTATTTTATGAATCTTGCTTGAATGAAAATACTACAAAATCAATAATTCAAAGTATCAAGGTACTGTCAGTGAATGACATTGTCAAAGGGGGTTTAGGAAATTCTAATGCAGCCATTTTGGTCTTGAGGATGAGCCTAAAAGTGGGCAGCAGGAGATGGATAAATATGGGCTGAAAATGCTGGTAGGATTAAATCCATATATTGTGAGTACAGAAATAAGGGTAAGGCTTCACTGTTCGTGTTCATTAGCAATAAATTACTTGAAACAGATTTAAAAAACAAAAAAATTCTGAGATTAGTGCTTGGGCTCCATGGGAACTTACAGTGGAAAATTATTAGGAATGAGTTTCATTTGCTTTTTTCTGATCAAAAGACAGAAAGAGGAGACTTTCTTAAAGCATATAGTGATTGAAAGTGAGAAATGAATTTTTTTTGAGCTATTGTTGTTTAAAAAAGACAGTTGGTAATCCCAAAGAGTAATTAATCAACAGATAAAGTTTTCTGAAATTAGTGTTTGGGCTTTATGGGAACTTAAAGTTAAAAATTGTTAGGAATGATTTTGTTTGCTTTTTTCTGGTCAAAAGACATGAAGACCCTTTCTTAAGGAATATTATGACTGGAAATGAGAAATGGATTCTTCGAGCTGCTGTTGTTCAAAAAAACAGTTGGCAATCCTAAAAGTAATCCAAAATTTTGCACAATAGAAGAATTGCATTGAAAGAAAATTTTGGTTTAATATAATTAGGTCTGGAAAGTTTCTTTTTAATCTGTTAGAAAATAACCAGAAAATTAATTTAAAACAACTGCTGTCATTAGTTACATTAGTTATATAACCTTAAATATGTATTAATCATCAAATGACTGACATAGATCAGTGAGTGTGATGAGATTCTTCAGCAGGCCACATATGGCAAAAAGGATTCAAGAAAAGCTTAATGCTTTTTAAAGGAAACTTCTCCAGGCTAACGTCTAGATATTATCCACTCGGATAATTTCCTGCTCAGATCACAGTGGTATTTTCTTGATGGTAAGAACTTCCACTGTAAACGGGAGATCAAAGATGTAAAGAAAAGCATATTTCATCGCAAAGTTGAAAGAATTCTTCAAGAAAGGGGTCAAAAATTGGCTGAAAGATGGGCAGCCACAGAAAGTGATGGAGACTACATTATTGGTTTAATTTTTGTAGCAAAAAATTTTTGTCATTTGAAATTTTTGTCTCTGTCTTTCGTTTCTGTTTAATCTGTTACTTTATAAATATGCATACAAATATATAAAAATCCATATCAATCACTACGTCTCTCTTGTATTTGATAAATGACTGAAAGTTAAATGACAGATGTTGAGTGTTTTTAATGTCTAATTACTTATCCGTATATGTCTGTAGAGTAAATTTAGAGATACTTGTAAAATGCATTGAATCTCTAAAACCTGCCTTCGCATTACTTACTGCATCTATGGTTAAAGTTCAAAATATTTAACTCTGTATTACAGCATAAATTGTAGCTAAAGGACTATAATATCAGTATACGATGGAAGTTTATCTTCATGTATTCATATATTTGAAAGATGAATTGTCCTAATACAGTCAAAAGTCGTTAATCCGGACTCGTCGGGACTTCGGCGATTCCGGATTATCGATTTTTCCGGATTATAGATCATCAGTTTAAATCTCGTAAGATGGCATGCAGAAATTCTAAAATTAAAAATATGAAACCGTAATTTATGAAATAAAGAACAATTATGATCTAAAGGGTATCAAAATTTACAAAAAAAAAAAAAAAAAAAAAAAAGCTTAATATTTATTTGTTTACTTTATTAAACATTTCTTTCAATGTAAGTTGTTTAAGTTGCTTCATTTTATGTGATACTAATACTTTCTCTTTAATTCTATAAACAGACATAATTTCTTTTCAGTTAAAGAGTTCCTGCTGTTCAAGTCCCGTTAATTGCTGTGCCGAGAATACCGACTAACTGGTCAATGGAAATTTTTTTCGTTTTCACTAACCTCTCTGTCACATTCTTCATGTCTTTATCCATTTTTTTCAGCAATTTCACTTTTTGTTTGTTGGACATTGAAACATACTTTCGTTTTGTAGATCCTTTGGAAGTTCCAGCATCGGAAATTCTATTTGACATAATCGAAAGTTCAAGTTTACTTTTATAAAATTGCTCTTACAGTCTGCAAAAAATAATAAGCGGGATCCTATTCGAAGATTAAGGAACAACGCAATCATTAACATTAACTGAAATAGATAATTAGATAATTTTAGCCTACACCGTCCGTTATACATTAAACGCGCAGGCGAAAACGTATTCTGCGCTTGCTCACACGCATATGCGCAGTAGTCAAGTTCTTACGCGCTCGCGTAAAACGCCTGTGCGCATGTGCTAACGCGGCACATGCGCAGAAAGTTTTTAGCTTTGAGGTCCGGATTATAGGTGTCCGAATTAACGACTTTTGACTGTATGTGAATTAATTTAAACAAAATTAATTATTAAGTCAATTTTTCAGGAACATTAATTATTAAATATAGCAAAGTAATTGTTATCTTTGATGAATTTTTATTACATTTAAGTGAGTGGCTTTATTTTAGTTCAAGTATTGTTAAAAAGAAGGGAACTGAATAAGTGTGTATAGTGTGTTCAGGAACATTTTTTACTACTATATGTCAATTAGCATTCAGAGTAAAGTTTACATAAATAAAGATAAATCACATCTATTTAAAATGATAGTTCTTCACTGTAAAGTGTTTATGGGGAAAATTTGCAGTCATCTATCTAAATGGTATCTGGGAAAGTTTTATCTTGCATGCTTGAGTTGAAAAACAAGATAAGAGTACTTTTTAGCAGTATAATAATGATTTTGCTGATTTGTTAGATGGCAAATTATGGTGAACTAAGCTAGCTGACATATCTGATATTTTTGTTATTTTTAATAGGATAAAAAAGTATGCAAGGTCCAAAAGAAAATATTTGAACCTCAACCAATAAATTGTTGGGATTTCAAAATAAATAAATAACAATGGAAGAGTTAAAACGAAGGTAGTTTAGAAACATTTGAGTCAGTTATGAGAGGATATTATAAAAAAATTCATAAAATAGTTGTGGATCATTTGAAAATACTAGAGCAAAGAATAATTCATAACTTTCCAGATTTTAAAAATATAAAAAATTGGTTGGGTTCGAAATCCATTTATGATACAGTGCATCAGTATATGAATTAACTTTGATACCAGAGAAATGATTTTGATATGTAATAACCAAGATTTATTTACAAAATATTCAGAAGAATCAATTAATTAATTATGGATTAATCTTAGATAGGACTATACAGTAATATCACAGAAAGCTTTAATTGTGTTATTACGGTTTTCCAGATCTTATATGTGCAAATTAAAATTTTTCGCTTTGACCAACATAAAAACAAAAAAATTCGGACTTTTAAATACGGATCACAAAATGAGAGTAGCATTATCATTTTGTGCTCAAATATAAATAAGTTACCAAAAAGCACCAATCTTAAATTTTGCATTGAAAGTAATTTCTAATTTATCATTAAATAAACATTTTGTTTATTTGTAATGCAATTTTATTTCATATTTCATTGAAGATTGTTGTTGTATGATATTTTTACAAAATATAGTATAACTACATCAATCAATTAGCTGAGTAAAATTCTTTTAAATTTATCTTATACTTAAAGTTAGGCTGAATTTTTAAATTGTTAGAAGTGTACCTTAATGAAGAGTTGAGAATCACTGGTCTGAGGAAAGGGATGCCTTTGTTGAGGTCTTTCTAAGGAAAACTGGTTCATGTTCACAATACACTTGGGGAAAACCAATCATGCAGCCATCCCGTTAACCTTAGAATGAATTCAAATTGAAGTATCAGCATTTAGTGGTCTTAACCACTTGGCCACTGCTGTGTCCCACAAGTGTTTGTATGAAAGGAATGAATTTTGAAGCAGTAGTACTTTTACAGCAAATATTATGCATTTTTTTTATGAATTGCAAAGTCCTGACCAGATGCTAACAAAATCATTTTAAATGAAAATAAAAGCTCATATGAGTACTTTCAGAAGATTAATTTTAAAAAAAATATTACAAAACATTTTATTTTTAAAAATACTTTTGAAAATAACAATATGGTCTTATAAAAGAAAGAAGCCTATTATATTATCTTGCTGCAATGTGAAAATTACATATGCCCTTCTATGGTATTTATTAAATATATAATTAGAAAAAAAGGTGATAAAGATATTGAAAATGCAGCACCAAGGAGTGGCTCAAAAAGTATGCAAATTTCAGGTTAGATGCATGTCACAGCATTTCAGAGCATGTTGAAGAAGATATAAGGGAAAGAACCTGCAGAATGTTCAATTTTCATGTCATTATTTCTGCTAGGGAAATCATCATAGAAAATTTGTTCCTGTCTCAGAGGGCATGAATAATAGCAGGGAATGCCAGGCCATTGTCAGTATAGGCAGTTCCAGCAGACATACGAGTCTGCTGATTATTAACAGTGTGATTTATGAGTGATTTATGAGGGGCTTAGTGATCGAACTGAGAAGGGCAGTTGGTCCATACAACAAATCTCAGGCGACACACAGCTGGACACATCCACAGTTCACCGACTGTGGTGATGATGGTTAAGACAAAGAAATATGGCAACTTTGAGGGGTGCTGGTGTAGCCAGCAAGTGTGGATCAACGCGTCCATTGACAAGCGGTGGCGAACCCACAAGCTACTTCTACCTCCATTCTGCAGCATGTTAAAGACACCCTGGATGTTTCCAACCAGATCCATTTGCTGTCAATTGGTGGCTAGTGATCTGAACTCGTGGCATCCATTAAGAAGACTGCCACTAACACCACATCATAGACGGCAACGGTTGCAATAATGCTGGGCTCCAACGATGTGGTCAACGAAATAGCACAGGGGTGTGTTCTCGGATGAGTCATGCTTCTGTTTCTCCAATGATAGTCACTGCATACAAGCATGATGTTGATGTAGAGACAGGTCGAATCCTTCAGCAATTGTGGAATGCCCCCCGGCACAACAACACAGCATCATAGTTTTGAGGTGCAATTGCCCTTTTATAAAGTGTAAAACACTATAAAATTTTGCACTGATTGTCTAAGATTGATTGCATTGCAAAATAATGCCTATATCCTTCAGGGCTAAAATTAAAAGCTTTGTGCAATGTTAGTCTTTGGTAGCATTGTTTTTTACTTAGTGCAATAACTAAAAGACATGAAAATTCATTCACCTGACAGATTTGATAAAAGAAATGAAAATTCCTTGTTAAAATGTGATAAAGAGATGAAACTTCTTTTACTTATACTTTGAGGAAGTAAAAATAAATACAAATGACTAAAGAAGAAAATGCCAGTCGATTAATATGAAGACATTTAATTATGTTCACAAAACTATCTATACATATTGAAAAATATAAGTTACTAAATTATTATGAAGGTAACTACATTCCAAGTCTCTCAAACAGTCCCTAATACTGTGAAAGAGTAAGTCAAGAGTTCTGAGTTCTTTTGGGGATTTTCCATATTAGCTGTATATTCCTTACTATTGTAGTTAAAGCATTCTCATATCAACACTGCTTAACATCACCTAGCTCAATTAGCTGAAATTTGAGATCTAAATGCTTTCTAATTTTTTTAAAATATCATTTATGAGTTTTTTTTTTTTTTTTTTTTTTTTTTTGTATTAATAGGAGATATCAGTGATAATTCAAAATAAGTGCATGATGTATGAGTGACATTTATGCAGAACATATTAAAACAAAATTTGTGGCTAAATTTGCCTGTAAGGTTTGTCTTAATTTTTCTAACAGTTAATTTTAGTCAAAGTTGCTTTTCTATTCCTTAACTTCAGCTTACAACTTCCAGCCAGAACATATTTTCAGAATCGCGTTTGAAGGCAAATGGGGAAAAGTATTTAACTGTGAAGTTCTTCTGACTTTGTTAGAGAGCCAGAGATTCTGACTAGCATGCGTTCGCCTTTTTAGGCTACTCTACATCTTAAACTATTATTACTCTCAGCCGTACTTTAGGCCCTTGACAGCTTCATCCTTATTTAGCATTAAGCGGTCAACACTGTTAGAATCTTGATAGCTTCTGCTATATCTTTTTAGTTAAGATTAGTTAAGTTTTATTTCATAGTTTACCGAGTTCAAGCCCGAGTGGGGGCTTTAGTATAACTCCAAGCAGGAGTTGACTGTTAAACTTTATTTGGAATAATAAAGGGTAATTAACCCTTCTCGAGTTTCTGCTCTCTGTCTACTAAACTAAGATGATTATTCGCTTACCTGCTCATAAGGTTCCTCAACTTTAGCTGTAAATTAAAATATGAGAATCTTACATGCCCATAGATTAATTCTGCATTTAGAAATAAATGTTTAACTTTCTCCTTGAAAAGTATAGGTATAGAATTTTATTAATCATTTAAGTTCATGAAATATGCCTGAAAATTAAAGATGAAATATGAGTTGTCCATTCAACATTATGCATCCTTAATTTGAATTAACATTATATTAAATAATATGCTTAATTTTTCAGTTAAACAATGCAGGTTGGGGAGAATATGATGAAGTCCTTCTTAGGTTGCTTTTAAATGTTTATCTTGAAAACAATGTGAAGCTGAGAAGTGTATATCTTAATCACATTATATCTTATATTGAAATTGTTCCTCCTTTCAAGCATTTAAAGGTTAGATGAGTCTTATTTATATATATATATATGTTAATTTTTTTTCCTTGCTTTTTTAATTTTTGAGTAATATTGTGTAATTATTGTCTTAAAAATCTTTTTATTTGCATTAGAACAGCGGTTCTCAACCTTTTGACTAACACGTACCATCTAAACAAAAACTGAAAAACTTTAGTACCACAACAACATTTTACAATGATTATTTTTCAATTTCTTAATAGAAATATTAAAAAACTGTCTGTTTTGCCATTTACACAACCTATTGGTTATTTGTGTTAAAGATGCATACATAAAAAAATAATAGATTGAAAATTGGTTACCATTTTAATTATCTGTAAGATTTTAATTTAAGTTATAATACTTTACTTAAAATTTAGCCTGAAATTCGGGCCTATTTAAGAGAGATCGGTTTCTTTACATCTGGTCTTATTTCACTTAGTTGTAACAGTAAATTAGGATCCACTTTTAATTTTGTTCTGTATTTTTGTGCAAAAAGGCAATAAAAATGTAATAGCTTTATTTAAAATGCCTTTTAATTTTTTTTTTTTTTTTTTTGATTCAGCCAAAAGTTTGCAAATGTGTTATTTTTTAAATCTTCAGTTAGAGCTTGTTCACAGGAAATTTCCATCAATTGTTCTTTTTCTTCACAAGATAAAATTTCAGCTACATTTGAAGAAAATGGATTTCTGTACAATTTTCTTTTTGATAATCTTTGGGAAAGTACACAATGAAATTATTTATCAATGAAAATAATGGTTTTTAATGTCAGATGCTAATTCTTCTTTTATGTTCAAATTACTTTTCTTTAAAAAACTTTCTAAAAGTGGTAAAAAGCTTAAAATATTATTATCCAATTCTTTGAATATTAGCTGGAGTATTTTAATAATTGCATTTATTTTATTTCTAATGGTAAACAAATTAACATGTTGTATTTGCAATCATAAATTTATTTCATTTAACTTTCCATAAATATCAGCTAAATATGCTAAATGTGCCAACCATAATTCCCTCAATAAACATTTTTGCAATTCAAATATTTAATCACAGAAGAAAATTTCAATTTCTGTTCAAAAAGTTCAAAAAGATGATTTAGACTGCCTCTGGATAACCAACCACCTTTTTTCAGAATGTAACAAAAGAATTTCATGTTCACTGCCCATTATTTGACATAAAATCGTGAATATTCTTAAAGCCTGGCTTTTAATAAAATTAAGAATTTTCACAATTTGATTCAAAACGATTTTGAGGTTTCCTGGGATTGTTTTGACTACTAAAGCTTCAAGGTGAATGGAGCAGTGAATAAATTTTGTTTCAGGTCCTACATTTTTTTATTTGAGAAATAATGCCGGGATGTTTTCCTGTTAAAGCCCAAGCTCTGTCACTGCGTACAGCAATGCACGTATTCCAAGGAATATCATTCTCAGACATAAAATTGTCAATTTGTTTGAAAATTTAATTTGCAGTTTCTCTATTGTGAAGAGATTCACAAAATAAATCCTCTTCGGTAATTAGTTTATCTTCTTCAAAAGTTATAAAAACTAATAATTGAACAAAATTCATTATATCAGTAATTTCATCCAATTGTAGTGTGAAATACTGTGTTTTATTTTTTGAATAAGTGTCTCTTTTACAGAATTTGCCATTTCATGAATTTGTCGACTTAATGTACACAGTCCAGTCACATTAATGTGACCATAAATCGCTCCGTTTCTGTCAAAATCCAGAATAACCACCTTTCGCACAGTAGACCGCTGGGAGATGTGCAGGATGTCTCACAGAGAGAGTCAATTAGGTTCTTGAAGGTGTTTATTTGGATGTTGAGCCATGCCGACTCCATTGCAGTGGCCAGCTGCGCTAGTTTACACTGTTGAGGATCCATGGCACGAAAAACGCAATCGAGGTGGTCCCTCAGACTTTTTATTTGGTTTAAGTTTGGGGATTTTGCTGGCCAAGGGAGTATTGTAAACTCATCCTGGTGCTATTGAACCGCGCACATAAACTACGAGCTGTATGACACTTCACATTGTCCTGCTGGTAGATGCCATCATTCTGAGGAAAAACAATTCGCACGTAGGGGTAACCATGGTCCGTAAGGACAGATACGTATTTCTGTTGATTCATCGTGCCTTTCACAATGATGAGTGCACCCAGAACATAATACTCCCTCCTTCAGATTGTACGTTTCCAGAAATTGTTGCATGGTGTTTGCTTTCCAACGTTTCACGCCGTATACGCCAACGTCCATCCGTCTGATGCAGCATAAAACGTGATCCATTGGAAATCTCATCCTATCCCACTCAGTGGACGTCCAGTTGTCTTGCTGGCGTGCAAATTCCAGACTTCGTTATCAATTAGCTGCAATCAGGGTAGGTTGCGTAGGATGTCAGTCAGCACAGGATGAGCTTCAGTCAGCATAAGCTGATGAGCTGCAGTCAGTGCAGCAGACGCCTAGTTCGAACGCCTAGTTTTGGCCTCCGCAGCAGATGCCTAGTTTGAACTAGGCGTCTGCTGCAGAGGCCAAAACGCAGAAACGTTCGCTGAACTGTCGTTGAGAAGACACTTTTGGTAGCACCTTGGTTCATCTGGACGTTCAGTTGCTCAACGGTTGCCGGTCTATTTCCCCCGAACGTATCTCAAAGGGCGTCTTTCACATCTGTCATCGAAGGCCTGTGGTTCACCACATTTGCCACATCGCCGATTTTAGATAGTGTGATTTTGCCATGCATGGTATACTTTTACCACGGCAGCACGTGAACAGTTTACAAAATTAGCCACTTCAGAAATGCCTCCATTCTTGGCCGGAAAGCCCAATGATCGTGCCCTTTTGGACCTCAGAGAAATTGTTCCGTTTCTGCATTACGTCAACGATTACCATGTTTTCTGATTCGCTCGAACACTCTTCATATACGCTCCACTGCTATGTGCTTCCGCATGCCTTCTGTGATTGGTTATTTTCCGTTGACGCCGAAAGTAGGTGGTGGTCACATTAATGTGACTGGACTGTGTATCATTTGATAACAGAATATTATTAAGTTCATTAGCTGCTTTTTCATTGAATAATAGTAAAATGTTATCTTTAGCTGCTGGTAATGTAAGGTTTTTTTCCTATAGTGTGAGCCTGCCCAGTCTTGGCAATTCTTAGGCTTACTATGTAACTAGCTTCCAAAGCTTTTTTTACTTGAAATAGCGAAAGCTTTCTTTACTTGTTTACTATTCTTGAATTCCACTGATTTTGTCTTAAATATTTTTCAAATTTATCCTTATCAAAAATATGCTTAGATTTAAAATATCTTGTAAGAAATGACAGTTTCATACTTTGATTGGATAATAGTTAACTGCAAACAGCACATTGAGGTTGAGGGTCCATTTTATATCCAAGTAATCCCAAATAATAAATTACTTTCACTATAATTTCTATAAACAGTTTTTCTTTTCTTTTTAGTATTCTTAGTACTAATTGATTGTTCTGGATCCATCACCTGTGAGTCATCACTTTTCCGCTTAGTCAATCCTAGCCACTTTTCCAATTTGAAAATCTAGGTTTATTTTATTATTTTTCACAAATATTTAAATGCACAATATATTATGAATTCTTCAAAAACAAACCATGATATCCTCAAATCAGGTAGAAAAGTAAGGAATATGAAGCAACAAGAAGTCAAAAATACCTGCTATTAGATATTAATATTACCTGCTATTAGCAATTACCTGCTATTAGTAAATATTATTAGATGTTACCTGCTATTAGCAAATCAACATAAAAAATGCTTCTAATTGAAAATAGAGCAATGAGCATGGAAATAGTAGTGACATAAAATGTAGACATTCTAATAAATCAATCAACTCTAAAACAATTAATGAGATACTATTATCTTTTTATATGAATTTATTTATATTTTTTATTAAATACAACATTCATTTCTATTACTCCTTTTAAAAACATTTATAACAAACTTTGTTATATCTATGGCCAAAAGAATATTTATGAAAATATTTTGCTAAAGTCCTTGAGCAAAGTTCAGATTGCATAATTTATGAGTGTTAAAGAAGAAAGTTTAACAGGATGTTGGAGTTTTTAGTTCTTGAATTTAATTGTTATAAATACGTTTTCCTTTGCGTACCATCTATTTTTCTGTTACGTACCACCGGTTGAGAACTGCTGCATTAGAACATTCTGAATGTCATTACATTTTTTTACTTAGATATTCTCAAAACATAAAATAAGCTCAAATGACTATAATTATTTTAAATCTTGTGTTTTCAACAGGTCTATTGTTTCTACTGTTCAAAATATAAAAGATATCTTTAAAATAAGTAGTATTTTATAGTAAAGAATGAATCTATATTGTAGGTACTTTATTTTTCATCAGATTTGTTATACCTTGAGCTTCTTTTCCACATAGTTTCTCTAGTTGAACATTTGTTGCACCATGCACAGTTTTTCAAAGATTGTTGTCACAGAAGTGTCCTACCTGAGAGGATAAATGTTCCTGAACCATTATTTTCACTTGTTGATTGGTCTGAAAGTGCTTGCTGGCAAAGAATCTTTTCAGATCTAGGAAGACATGATGGTCGGTTTATGCCAAGTGTAAGATGTATTTGAGGTGATCTGTTTGCTGCTTGCTAAATGATATGATTAGAGCTTTGCATTTAAGCAGTAATATGGAGCCCCACATTGTTGTGAAACAACATAGCTCTGGCAAGTGGCAATCTATAGTATATATTTTAGGTTGTACGGAGAAGATTTCACAAAATCTGACAATGTGCAGCAGCATTTAGTATTGTTCCCAGTGATGTGAAATCCACTAGCAAAACACTATATCTATTTTTGAGCTTAGTTATCTGTTTGAATTTCTCCATTGCTGGAAATGATATTTATCACCACTTCGTTGACCATTACTTGGCTTCAAATGTCACATGAAACAAATATTTTTTACCCTTTGATAATGTTGCTGAATAGCTCATGTTGTCCAGTAAAAAATTACAAAGCCCTGGCTAATCTCTTTGTTTTGTGTTCCTCAGAAAATATTGAGAACACATCCTCCTGTAGTGCAGGTTTTCCAGTACAGTTTTGTTTTAAAAAACTAACCATGAAATGCATGGAAAATTCATTGATTTCATGAAAAAGGGAACATTTTTACCCCCCAAAACCATCATGTTTGTCATATGTGTAAGATCAATAGATGTTACTGGTGACCAGTCTAAGTGTTGTTCATCATGCACATTCTCCTGGCCTTCCTTATGCCATCTAACTCAGTTTCAAACTTTACCCTCACTTGTTGCATTTTGAACAAATGCTTCATAAATGTGTTGATGAATCTCTGCCAGTGTTAAATTTCTTGCAGCCAATTTTCTTGCAAATATTGGGCATTATTTCACATGCAGTTCTATTTTCGCCACCATTTCCACTTGGCAAAGCGCAATGCATGCATTGCTGACATGACTAAAATATTAATATATGGGCTTTAAAAAGACATTCCCAATAGTCTTTGTCTAAAAATGTCCTACATAGTGTGTTACATGACTTGATTTATTATTGCTTTGAAAGTTGCATTCATTACCAGCTCAACATATTATTTTATGTTTATTTCAGCATAATTGCTGTTATTGGATTTTATTTAAAATATTTTATTATGAAATTTTCTGTAATTTGGTATTTAATGTTAAATAAGTAGATACCTGGTAATTTTTGCCATCTAAACAGTTTTTTTTTTTTTTCCCGCATTTAAAAAGTACAGTACAAAGTCCGAAATCCCGGACGTCCATTATCCAGAATGATCTAAAATCCGGACCTCAAAACCACAAACAATTTTTTTTTTTTTTTTTTTTTTTGTATGCTTTACACATGCACATTTGATTTTTACTTCTATAATAAAACATGTGGAGATTTTCACTTAAAAAATTCTGATTCTTAATTTCACGTAGGCACTAAATAAAATACCTCGTTATGGAAAAACAATCATGTAAATTTGTGAGATTAATAATTTGGCTCTGTAGTTGAATATCTGCTTGGCATACATCTCAAACAAAACATTCACCTATTTTATATCCCTGACGCCGACCTGGCAAGTTATTATTTATTATATTTTGCTTTCATCACTGCATGTTTATCAATACATGACAGCTTCAGTAATAACTCGTGCAGTGATATCTACACTTTTTTTTATATTAGTAATTGAAAAACAAGAGTATGGCAACCTTTTATGCTAACATTACGCTTTGCGATGATTATAGATTTTTAAATGCTCTAAGAAATGTTGATGAAGAAATTTATTCTGAAATGAAGAAATTAAATGAAGAAAAATTCTTTTCATATGCTAAAAATAGATTTTGTAAACGAAACTCATAGGCCAAAATATTAAATTTAGTGCTATTTTAATTAAGAATAACCGATATGCTATTCATCATAAACCCAGAAGTGGGGGCAGAATTTAGGGAAGACGGAATTTTTTTAATTTGGGGAAGCACCGAACGGCAAAATTAAGGGATGAGAAGTTTTTTATGATTTAAGGAAAGCACCTGGAATCCAAAGTTTAGGCGCAATGAAATTTTAGAACTTAGGAAGGCGCTTTGTAGCAGAATTTAGGACCTGTAGAGACTGCACCAGGTGGTATCTAGCTCCGGCCCTAGATAAAATCTTAAGTACATGTGGGAGTTTATTTATTCAGGACTCAGATTAGTTATAAGCAAGTGCAAGAAGTAAACATAGATATAGTAAATAACTAAACTAATACAATTCAGGCTTAATTCAGTACCCAGTATGGGCAAGACAAAATTTAGTGAAATAACTTGGCTTTCGTCGCCAATCTTGTGATACACAGCCAATAATGTATAATGGATGCTATTAAAGCTAGGCTAAAATTATCTTTACTGATTCTAAGGCATTTCAGTTAATGTAGCAGACTGTGCTGCTCCCTAATCTTCTAATTTGATCCAGCTTATTATTTTTTGCAGACTGTTATAATTACGGCAATTTTATAAAAATTAAGCTTGAACTTTTGATTATATCGAAAAGAGTTTCCAGTTCTGGGGCTGCCTAAGGATCTACAAAGCTAAACCATGTTTTGATGTCCATTAAACAAAAAGTGGAATTGCTGCACAAAATGGAAAAAGGCATATCCGTCTCAAAATTATGTGAGGAGTATGGCATTAGTAAATAACGTAGATGAATATCTGCTTGGCATACATCGACTGTATATTACAAGTTGACTGTATATTACATAAGAAAAAAGAAAAGGAACTTTTTGAGTTGTTTGTGGAAGCAACTTAAACAACTTGCATTGAAAGAAATGTTTAATAAAGTAAACAAATAAATATTAAGCTTTTTTTTGTAAATTTTGATACCCTTTAGATCATAATTGGTCTTTATTCCATAAATTACAATTTCATATTTTTAATTGTATAATTTCTGCGTGCCATCTTACCAGATTTAAATTGATGATCTAATATTCAGAAAAATCCCAAATCCGGAATCGACGAGTGTGGATTTCGGACTTTGTACTGTAGTTATTATTATGTACACTGCTCAACATTGAAAGTGCAACACCAAGGTCAGAAAGTGATGAAATTTGGAAAAAAGGCAGAGACAGCAAGCAACAATAAATAATTTTTATTTCAAAATGATAGTCGGAATACAGAGCGAGAACGGCGTCGGCTCAGTAGGATGTAGGACCACCGTGGACAGCGATGCACGTAGAAACACGTGTAGGCATAGAGTCAATAAGAGTGCAGATGTTGTCCTGAGTGAAGGCTGTCCATTCCCTTTCAAACATTTGCCATAGTTCATCTTCTGAACGAGGCAGGGGCAGAGTCTGCAAACGGTGTCCAATCACATTCCACACGTTTGATTGGTGACAGGTCAGGAGAGTACGGTGGCCAGGGAAGCATCTGTATACCTTGCAGAGTATATTGGAAGATGCGAGCACTGTGTGGTCGGGCGTTATCCTTGCTGAAATATTGCATTAGGCAGCCCCTGAGGATAGGGGATTGCCACTGGCCGCAGTACATTATCCAAGTATCGTTGGGCCGTCATAGTGCCCTGAATACGAACTAGGGGTGACCTGGAATTGTAGGCAATAGTGCCCCAATTTTGCAGTTACTGCCGGATTAGATCTGTCTCCATGTTGACGCCGCTCACATATGCGGCGACTGTCACTGGATAAACAGAAGCGTGACTCATCTGAGAACACGATGTTTCGCCATTCTGTCATCCACATCATTTCCAGTCCAGCATCATTCTAAACGTTGGCGTCTGTCCTGTGGGGTCAATGGCAGTCTTCTTAATGGATGCCGTGAGTGCAGGCCACGTTCAACCAATCGACGGGAAATGGTTCTGGTCGACACAGAAACATCTAGGGTATCTTGTACATGCTGCAGAATCATGGTACAAGTGACTTGCGGGACCGTCACAGCTTGTCGGCGGATGCGTCGATCCACGCATGCTGACGTCACTTTGGCTGCCCTTGCACCCCTCCTTCTTCCCACATTTCCTTGTTCCGACCATGTTCGCCATAGCCGATACACCATGCTCGCATCCATGCCGGTGTCAGCTGTGATTTGATGTAAGGACCAACCCGCCCTTCTCAGTCCGATTACCATACTGCTCGTAAGATCGTCTATCTGCTGGAAGTCCCTTTGTTGACGGCGGCCTGGCATTCCTCTCCTATTACACGTAACCTCTGGGACAAAAACCAACTTTCTTCTATAATTTGTCTGGCAGAAGTAACGACACAAATATTGCCCATTCTGCATGTTCCTTCCCTTATATCTTACCTCACCTGCATTGGAGAGTTGCGCATTTCACATCATTCGCATAACTCAGTGACGTGCGTCTACTCTAAAATTTGTATAAATTTCTGACCACTCCTTCTTGGTGTTGCATTTTCAATGTCGAGCAGTGTATGAGCATTGTTATTTTGAGAACTAAAATATTTATGGCTTTCTTGTTTTTTGGAACTAAGAATTTGCATTTTACAGCGGATATTAAGTGTAACAGATAGACATCTTTCAATAAGTGATGATGCAGAAGAATTAAATCAGATTGCTTGTCTAAATATATTGAAATCTGTTATTAGGTCATGCTGGCCAAGGTAAATAATTTTTTTTGTAATAATATTTAAATTCATTAATAAAGTATTTTCATTTCAGTAAAATTTTTAATTTACAATAGTTGTTATTTGAAAGAAATTAATATTTGTTATGTTTTTTAATATTTATGTACAGAATATCTCAATTGAACTAGGTGCTACATAATAATAAATTCACTTGAATTTATTTATTACTAGAAATTTATATATTTCCTTATGTAATCTTTTCATAAAGAAAAGAATTTTTCAAAATTAATATCCAAGCTGTCTGTAAGGTGGTTGTTGTTATAAAGAAAACAGAAGTTTAACCCTAGATCAATGGTTTTCAGAGTGAGTTATGCAAAGTGATAATTATGGCTATGCTCACAATCACTTGCAAGTGTATTACCATGTATCATGGAATGCAAGCTTCTCTCATTGGTTTCACTAGGGTCTGGTGAGCTCAACATCATAAATACACCAGCTTTAGTGCATAAACGCACATTTTTTGGGGAGGCAAAGGACTCTGCCTTTGGAGAGAAAATATCCCTGAACATTCAAGAAGGAACTGCTATCTTTGGGATAAATAACTATATGCATATTTATTTTATGTTATACTACATGGGTACAACTTATAATTATTTTATCATTTTGGGTATGTGATTACAAAAGTTTGGATATCACTGCCCTAGCTCACCAAACACTTATAAAGTCTCTTGAATCCACTTAACATCACACTCTGATTTTTTACATTTCCCAATCAGTGAAAATGGTTGAGAACGGTACAAGTTAAAAAAAAAAATTTACTTTTTGTAATTTTTCCAGATATCATATTACAATAATATACAATAAAAATTCACTTCAGTGTACTGAATCATGGTATTTAATGTGTATGAATAAATGAGTTGCATCATAATACGAGGGTTGGGGCAAAAGTCATGGCAACTATTTTTTTCTTGTAGATATGTGAACGGATCACAAAACGTATATGTGTCGTGTGGAAATTCTGCAGGCATAGTGTGTATGCAGGACAACAGCTGTGATATGGCACGTGCCTCATGGATCGAGCACCTCATGGATGAAGACAGACAATGAACATTACTGAAGTTATAAAGGGCAAGTGGCATCGAGAAACACACCGTCCACAGGATATTGCGTAATGAGCTACAGCTACGCGAAATCACTTCGTGGTGGGTACCGCATGCACTGACGGAAGTTCAAAGGTGGGTGCACTATACAATATGCTCCGACCACTTTGCATGCTGGCAACAGGACGGCAATCAATTCTTGTCACGAATAATCGCTATCAATGAATTTTGGGCCAGGCCATGCAAACCAGAACTTAAAACGCCAGTCTGCGGAGTGGCGACATCCTGGATCACCAAGGCTGCAGAAAGTCCGTCAGAATCCTTTACCAGTCAAATTGATGTTAATCGTCGCGTATGACATCAGAGGTATCATTGTTTGTCACTTTGTTCCTCTTGGCAGAACAGTGACCGCACAGTACTACAGGAACTTCCTGGTGCGACAGGTACGACGTGGCATTCGGGATAAACGTCTAGATCTTGTGGACAGTGCAATAATACTGCATGACAATGCAAGACCACATAAAGCAGAGTGTGTACGGCAGCTACTCCAATGTTGGAGCTGGGAAGAATTGGAGCACTCACCGTACTCTCCTGACCTTTCGCCCTGTGACTTTGATCTCATTCCCAAGATTAAGGAACCAATACGTGGTAGGCAACACAAGAGATGATGAGTCTGAATCAGAAGTTTGCAACACAAGAGAACATTGCTAATGCTGTGTGCCAACAGATGACCCGATTCACACATAGTGCGGCAAATGCTGAGGTTGATGTATTCAGCCCCTCCTACATCGTTGGCAGCATGTGGTGACGGGACTACATTGAGGGTCTTTAGGCACAGTTTTGTCATGTCAACTTTATGTGTATTGTGTTATCATTCTTTTGCACGGTGAAGGCCATATTGCCCTCTATACTACCGTAATAAATTCCTTGTTACGATTTAAGACCTTGTTCTTTCGCCTATATATGTCGCATTTTTCCAACCGGACTGGTATCTTCAAGAAAAAAAAAATAGTTGCCATGACTTTTGCCCAACCTACGTATTTAATGCAATTGTAATAGAATTTTCTTTTTTTAAAGTTAGTATTTCAGGGTTAAATTTAGGAACAAGAATTTTAGATGTCTAGAATTTCATAATGCACAATATATATTTTTCAATATCTGTGAGGAAAATGTTGAACAAAAGGGTGTCAGATGATTGTAGTGGCTGAGAAATTAGACAAACATATCTAGTTTATGTACTGTTAACCCAGGAGGACTCGTATTATGTAATACGAGAACACGCATGGGGTGTCAACACACCCCAAGCAATTAAATGACGTACAAATTAAACATATTATTACAATTCAGTAAAAGAATGCATTCTATATTAATTACAACATTTATTACATAAAATAGCTTAAAATAATGCTAATTTTAAAATTACTAACAAATACATAATTTTTTTCCAGATGTCTAGGAATCATTGATTTCTATGAGAAATGTCTGTTTTTTATTTGGGAATGCAATTATAATCCAAATCATGCAGAATTATTACATGAACAATGAGTTATATAATTAATATTGAAATCAATTAGGCCCAAGAAGCATTAGATATTTTGTAATATGTACATGAAGCATCTATTTCACAGTGCTCTTGACGTATGTTTCTTACACTTCACACATAATTTTTTGATTTTCTGTCTTTTTCCTTTGAGCACATGTAACATCTGTATTTTTTATTTTTTTTTTTTTTTTTTTTTTTTTTTTTTTTGTGATTCATCAAAGCATTTTCTGTAGGAAATTTGCCAATTCATAAGTGGTATACCAATTGTCTGTGATAATGTTTCTTTGAGATTTGTATAATGGAGCCAGGATGTGCTTTGCTATTTCACTAGAACTGCTTACTTTCTTGTACGGCCCATCTGGCTGCTGACATGCATAAATTTCCATGTTGAAAGCATAGAAGGTTCTAGAATAAACCATAGCAAATATCTTTATACCATATCTTGCAAGTTTCTTAGGTATATACTGCCAAAAGGAGCATCGTCCTCGAAAAGTTTCTAGCTTTCGTTCAAAGTCATGTATTCCCCTATATGATATAATTTCTATCAGTTCTTGACAAAATTTTCAAATAAATCTCTTATTGGAGCTAATTTTTATCTTTTCCTATAAAATAGTCAGTTTGATCACAAGCAATGTCTTCTGAAAAATCGCACTCTTCTTCTGATTCAGACTCATGATCACTAAATATATCTTCATTATCTGAATCTTCTAATATCTTCTTCTATAGAATCTTCATCCGACGAAACCCCTTCTAATAATTCTTGAAGTCTTTTCATTTCTTGATCATACGTCAAATGAGGAAAAGACCAAACAGAGCGACTTGCACACGCCAAGGCTCACACTGAAAAATAGTAATACGTAAGTTTGGGGTTTGCCGACACCCCAAACTATTATTTAAACAACAATAAATGCTTGGAATTTGCCGTGTCCCGTCAAGACGTAAGGCAGCTATTGATGCACCTAAGCATTTTGGATTATAGGGAGATATTGCCAGCAAATTTTTTTTAGTGCACTTCTTCCTGGGTTAAAGATGATATCTGATCAGTGAGGAGTTTTTGAGGGTTCATAGGGACTCACTCAAGCCCCTTGTTAAATTTGGGTCTAATTTGTGAGACCTTTATCCTTTTTGTTTGCTTGTTTGTTTATTCCAAGAGACACAATTTTTTCATGCCATAATGTCACATTGACAGCCATTTAATTTTGTATTAATACATGAAATGAAAATCAGCAAATTTTGAAATTTCATTAAATGGAAAAACTGCATAATGAAATTCCTAATAGTGCTAAATCAATGTGGAGATTATCATTACTAGTAGCACCAGAGCTGAAGGAACTTTCAGATTGATGAACAGTATTTCCACAACAAAATCTTCGTTCACACCATGATATGTTTCAGATGAACTCCTTCACTGGGAAATCTTTAGGAGATTTTCAACTAAATCTTATGTAAAAACATGTTTGAAAAATTGGTTATTAGTCTTAGAACCTCCTGAAAGATCAACTGAGATGAAAGAAAAGAAAATGATGTATGACAGCTTCTGGCATAATTTGTGCCACATAATTATATTTGCTTATTTTTAATGCAGCAGTTTATTTTTATTTATTTATTTTATTGTATTTTTGAGTCTTTTTTTAATGCTTTCGTGGTCATGCATGTATGTGTATTTTTTATTTTTGTAAAATGTGAAACATTTAATTAGTATTTGATATTTTACTTTGATAATATACAAGCTCCACTTTTCATAATTGCCTTTGTTAAAATTTTCATACCTCACCTATCAATTGATAATTTTTTTTTTTTTTCATTTTAACTTAATATCTGAACTCTCTAAATTAAACTGAACTATTTATCAAAGCAAAAACAACATGCAATTTTTCTGCATGCTATTTTGTACATCATCTGATTAGTATTCTGTAAACAATTAGAAAAATAATCTCACAGTAAATTACTTCTAAAATGGCAGGCAAACGTTAAGCTTTAGTGACATGAGTTTTATAAGTTTTATGACAAATACTTTGGGTGTTGTTCATTTGCATGGAATAAGTTGTGTATTGAAATTAAAAAAAAAAAAAAAAAAGCAATGAAGTAAAACAAAATATTAATTTATTTTATTTTATTTTTTATTCTTAGAATGGAAAATCATTGTTTAGAAATTTTAATATCAATTTTGAAACTCATTTATGATTTGGAAGCTAAAAGAGAAGCTATGAAAAAAGAAGGTAAGATAAGTTTTTTAAATGTTTTTATATGTGTACTTTTTCAATAATATTATTAGGAAATTAGGTATGTAAAGCCAAACTGTCAAGTATTATGGTATTTTTATACAGTAATAGCCCGACTCAACTAACCAGAATTTTTTAGAATTTTAGAAAAAATATTCCCCCCACCCCCCAAAAAAAAAATTAAGCAAATGAGAGATTTGTAACACTAGTATAGAGCCAACTATATTATTAGCGAGCTATATTGCATGCATTGTCACCAAATAGTGTGATTTAGTGCCAAAAATTGTTAAGCACAGTATCACAACCTAAGTATAAGAATTTTGCTTTGTTTTTATCTTAACCCAATTAATTCTGAATAAGCCAGTTTAATTTTTAAAAAGAATGATATAAGTTCTGTTTTTTTTTTTTTTTTTTTTTTTTTTTTTTTTTTCCATCTCATTTTGAAAAAAATGTTTTACATTTGGTAGCCTGCCTTTCATGGGACAGCATACAGTAGGCTAGTTTCTAAGTTACATGATCCTGGTATCAAAAAAAGGCACAACATTAACTTTATTTGAAAATGAATAAACAATTGTGATACAAAAAAAAAATTGCAATAAGTGATTTAAGTTTTCATATGCTATATCCATAATTTATATTGGTTTATGCAGAGGACAATTGGTTCTAATTAAATTCTGCCAAGTAAACTGGGCAAGTTTGGTGAACATCTTTACCAACTTTAAAATTTGGCAAGATTTCATAATCAGATAAAATGTTCAACTTTCTTGTTTAAGACCTATAAAATACATTGCCTTTTATGTCTGAAAGGCAGTTCTCCCTTCCTGAAATCTCATGTAATTTTAAATGTAGACTTTTAATATTCGAATAGGTAACAAATAAGATGACTGTTTCTATAATTTTAGACAAAAAATGTCTTTCCTCCATTTGGCTTTTCTATCATTAATTCCAATTTTTATATGTGCAACTATCCAGAATTTGGCATTTCCTGAGCTTTCCAGATAGTCAGCTTTTACTATATTATAATAGCTTAGTAACAGGATTTAACATATTTCAACATTGGAGAGAAACAGAGTTATTGCTTCATGTAAGCTATTTATTCAGTGCCTTCAACGTACACAAGGTAGAACTCCACTCTATAAAATGCTAAATTGAAACTATCAAGTGTAATTCATAGTTATCAATGAAAAATCAAGAAAATTTTTGCTAGCTGAAGAAACATAAACTAAATTTGCAGATTGGTAACCATAGGCATCAAATGAATGACTTATTCGTAATCATCTCTTACTTAGTATGCTCATAATCATCTCCTTTCTTACTGAGGGTGACATGCTAATTCTTGTTTTTCACTAAGGACAAGTTGATTACAATAAAACTGCATAATAAAGTGCATTAGCAGAAACACAATTACTCTGTCTTAGATAGTCGAAGATCAAATATATGAGTTTTTTATGCAGATAATACACATGAATTTTTGGTACTATTCGGTTTTGAAGGCCGTAAAAAATCGCCAAATTATTGTTGATGCCAATGCTGCCAAAAAGAATTGCGGCAAAAAAGGAAGTATAATAGTAAATAACTGTCTAAGATTGATGTTTAAATTTAGATGAAAGGTTAATTTATATAAAACTTTTTTATTATTATAATTTATATGAAAAAGGCTAAACATGACTGAATGGAAGCATAAGAGTAAATAACTATTTCAGATCATTATTATAATTTATATAAAAATTGCTAAACATAACTGAATGGATGCCTGCATTGCTATTTCGCTACCGACTTATCGCTAAAGCATAATTTCATCTCGTTGGTTGTTCAAACGTAATTTTCTATAATGAATGATGTCTTTGAAAATATTCTCGGTAAAGTGCAGAATCGCTCACTTATTTGTTTGCCGCTTTTTAGAAAGGTAAAAACAAGTGGATTTTTGTCAATTTTCTTTTACTTTTTAAGTGAAAATAGGTCGATGTGTACATAAAGTCAAGGGTGTGCACAGTGCCATTTTTGTGCAATTCTGCTTTTTTTTTAAGTAAAAATAAGTCCTGTACATGGATACCGAGTATGTGCAATTCTTAAAAACGCGTCAAGCAGTGGGTGATTCTGCACTTTACTCAAAATTCTATTGCAGACTTTTTGTCACAGGCAATTCCAAAATTGTTAAATCCATAGGATATCAAAAAAGGATTTAAAAATTAAACTAATATTTCAATAGTTTCTTAAGAAATATTGAACTATATAAACTTACATAAACTTACGCAATCTGAAATCAGCGCGTACGCTAGATTTGGTGTGCTTTTAAATGGGCGCGTTTGCTAGATTTGGCGCTTTTGCGCATACATTTTCACTGCAATTTTTTTTACGGACCTCAAAATGGAATAGTACCAAATTTTTGTGTTAGGAATAATAGCGTTGGGTATTTCGGTTTTTAGAAAATAATTAGATCTTGTTAGACGTGAATTCTTTGTTTTTACCGTTGCAATGTCGAAGCGTTGAAAATGTTTAACAGAGCATGAAATAGCAGAATTGATGCAAAATATTTCAGATATTGATTCTGAAATTCTGATATTCTGATATTGATTCTGAAATATTAACTGAAAGACATTTTCCAAAACTTTGTTCAGAAGAGACTGATAAGAAAATGAGACGACGGTGCTTCGTTTGTTCACATTCCCGGAAAAATCCTGCAAAACGGCAAATGAGTTATTACGAGTGCAAGGAATGTAACGTAGGACTGTGTGTAGATCCCTGTTTTCAAATTTTTCATACGAAAAGAGAATTTTAAGTAATATATTTAGTTTTCAGATGTATAATGTTAAAATTCATAAAATGGTGAGTAATTAAAATAAAATGTGTAAAATATGCATTTAAACAAGAAATAAGGTAATTAAAGTATATATATAAAAATATCTATAAAGCATAAGCCGTTTAAATACTCTATAGAGCATTATTAAACAATTTGTTGATACTTCGGAAATTTCATGGATTTAGGCTTAGTAGCAAAAAAGCCCCGGCCCTGGAGAGACGCTCACGTAAGACACTGCCGGCCTCATCGATAAGCGCGCGTTTTCGCTACCCGGCTCGAAGGGGTTAATTGGAACAAGTAATTAAATAATTCTCTGTACAAAATTTACCTACTTTTGTAAAGAGAAAAATGGAAAATTTTGTAAAGAGAATTATATAATCTCTTGTTCTCATTAAATTCAATGATAAATTATTTTTCCTCCTTTTAATTCATTATTTATTTGAGTTTTAATTCAAAGATTCTTCTGTGAAAATTTTTTATTTATTTATATGTTTCTCAACATTTTGCACTCTAGTTTTTTGCTAAAAATAATAATATATTTTTATGCAAATTTAACATGCTTTTATTATGCTTGAAAAGAAAATGATCATAGTAATTGCATCATAAAATGGATAATATTGAGGGTTTTCTCAATGTGCAGTTACTATATACAGCAAAATATTTTAAACTTTGTTATCATCTGTTGGTATAAATTCATGTCGGAAAAATTTCAGAAAAATCTGTAAATTTTTATGTTTCTCATCTATTTAATTATAAGAATGTCAATTTTTTTTTTTTTTTTAAGTACGCAGAAGAATTTCAATTTCAGTAACTCTGTACCTCTTTCTCTTAACACTAACTCACTTGCATATGAAACAATTCTCTGTCTGCTTTTCACTCATGTGGCTTTAATGATCTGTTTCTCTTTTTGCTCTCAATGTTAGTGATATAAAGATTTGTGTGCCACATGGTACTGTAATGTTATCATTATATAAATATACATTTTTGGTGTTTGTATTAGAGTTAATTCTTAAACTTGTTTGTAATTAATGCTAGTTCTTGTTGAAATGTTAATTTATGAATTTATTGGTTGTTAATTTTAGTGGCATATTTTGAAATGTGAGTAACTAAAAAAATAAATGCTGCTGATGTGAAGAAATTTGTGTTTATCTGAGTTTCTGTTGATTACAGTGATTGTATATTCACTATAATGTAGCTGTTTTTAGTGATTTTTTTCTTTTCATTTTCTAAAAATCTTTCCAATAACTGAATTAGTTCATGCATCATTTTGGCTGTCTGGCCCACACTTCCATGAAATTGTTAGTTTCAGTGAATCTCAATAACTGAAACTCACTGTAATGGCATAAAAGCAGCAGCACCAGTTACTTTGTAAATTCAAGCTTGATATCCTGTATTAGTGTATATGGTTTGATAAATGTATTGAAATGATGATTATATAACTGCCATGATTAATATTAGTGAAGCTTAGCATGCCATTTTGCACACATTGCATAAACATTTTTTTTTTTTTTTTTTTTCCTTTGGATAAAATATTTTAGGAATTAAATCGTTTTCTCAGAATTCACTAAAGAAAAATATTGCTTTTTGTTCATATTAAGATTTAATTAAATATATCATTATCTTAATATAAAAATGTATACTCTTTTTTAGTGTGTGATGAAATGTATAATTTATGTAAAGAATGTGTCTGTCTATTGAAGAATGCATGCTCTACAAAATTTCAGGTATGTATTATGCCCTGAAAAAAATATATATACATCTAAGTCCTTTATGTTTGTTACTGATGAAAATTATATTACAGTACTATATTTCCTTAATTTCAGAATTTATGGTGTAAGAGATGCAGCCAAATTTGATTTTTTTTTCTCAGTATTGATATTAATTTCAAGTAAGAAAAGCTGAATGTATTCTTAATATGCAAAGTGAAATGTGCAATTGAAATATGCCTTTTTTGGCAGAATTTCTTTGGACAGAATATGTAAAGAATTTATAAGAAAAATACATAGTGTACATGGGCTAGTTTAGTCAACAGAAATTTATAGTAACCTTGCTAGTGAACCAGCACACTATTATTTTCTCCTGAAAAAAAGTAGATGAGCTCTTTGTCTCCTAAAATAACTATACGGCTTTGCAAAATCTGAATTCCAGTTACTTAATTGTATTTGGTTACACTTAAGATATGGTAGTCAAGTTTTAACCATAATAATAATTTATAACACAAAATAAATAAATAAAAATAAAAAAAAAATTTGTTATTAATAATCAACTAATTACACCAAACTCAGAATGATTACAATTTAAAGTTTGTGGTTACAAATCCAGTCATTTCTATTTGGATTTAGCAACCAATAGCTATATGTAAACAAATTTTCAGCTATATTTTCTGAATTCAAGTTGTAATCAACCACCTCTAAGTTAAAACTAATTCTAGTTCTTATCATTTTTAACCTAAAGCAGATTAATTTAAATCTCAGTAAAACTGCTGACAGTTTTGCTACAGAATCTTGCTCTTGATAAAACTTGGTTATTTGTTTATTAGCTCTGCAAGGTAACAATGTAGGTAATCATTAATTGAGGTTAAAATTTATTGTATATTACGTATCTTTTTTATACTCAATTAATTTGCATACTCTAGGTTTCTTAAACTGTGGGTTGCAAAAAAATTTTAGCAGTTTTGATATCTCTTTAAGTTATTATAATAATTTTACAAATACCAAATATTTTTACACAATGTATCTGAAAATAAATAAAGATGAGACAATACAGACAAAGGAAAAATGGTAGGGTTTGAGTGTGGCGCAGACTCTACGAAGCCATGGACCTAAGTTGTCAGCAAGGCACTGTTCAAGCTGGTGGTGGTTCCATAATGGTCTGGGCTGTTTTTACATGGCATGGACTCGGTCCTCTGGTGCAACTGAACCAATCATTGACTGGAAATGGATGCCTTCAGCTACTTGGAGATCACTTACAGCCATTCATGGACTTCACGTACTCAAACAACGATGAGATTTTTATGGATGACAATGCGCCATGTCGGGCCACAATTGTTCACGATTGGTTAGAAGAACATTCTGGACAATTCCAGTGAATGATCTGGCCACCTAGATCACCCGAAATGAATCCCATCAAACATTTATAGGACATCATCGAGAGGTCAGTTCATGCCCAAAACCCTGCACTGTCGACACTTTCACAATTATGGACATCTATAGAGGCTGCAGGGGACTTCCAATGACTTGTTGAGTCCATGCCACGTCGAGTTGCTGCACTTCACCGGGCAAAAGGAGGACCAACAAAATATTAAGAGGTATCCCATGACTTTTGTCACTTCAGTGTATATTGTTGTAATTGAACAAACATTTTTTACTGATACCCAAATCTTACAGGGATATGTGTACAGATCAAAATGAATTTAAATTTATTGATATTATAGAAATAATTTAGAAGATATTATTTGTTTCAAATACATTATAAACACTTAATTTTCTGTAATTAAAAAAGCAGTGTATGTTATTCAACTGCCCAATAAAATGTTTCAATAAGAAATAAGAGGGGCAAACATTTGATATGGTACAGATAAACAACATGGTATAAATTTAGAGAAACTAATTCTACACATGGCCAATTATCCCTAATAAAATGTAATCCAAAATTTCATATTACAGACTTTTTATTTATCGGAAAAGACAAATTAGATTTCATTTATAAATAATCAACTGTAAGCGATACTTTAGTTAAAACTCATTGCTATTTAAGATGTGGAATGGGCAGGAGGTCATGTGCTGGCCACATCAAAATTTTTTTAAATAGGCTCCAAACTTGAAATAGTTATAACATATAATAATATTGTTGTAATATTGAGCTGATCGCTTATTTTAGTATGAAAAAGCATTTGAAGGCTCAGTTACTTAAGGAGGAGATGCTTTTATGATTTTCTTTTTATGAGAATCATAGTTATGTTATATATGGGGGAAGAGAGAACAAAAATTATGTTTAGTTTCTGGGAACTTGTCGAGGACTAACTACTGGGATATTGTAGTTTTAGCAGCTGAATATTTGAATCCCTTTCAAAAAATATTAAGAAATAAAACTTGCAGTCACATTTTTTGGTACATTAATTTTTTATTAGTCTTTGTAAAAATGTTTAATGCTCACTGTAGTCTAGTTTAGACCAAATTTTTTTATTGCTTCTTTAAGCTATTCAACAGTTGTCAAAGCTGGCTGCTGAGTTCAGATTTATAACTTAAAAAAATGATAGATATTTGTAATCATATCATTTCTGAGTAGTCTAAGTGTTCTTAAAGTTTATCAAATTCTCATAAGAGATTGGTGGTAAGGGAAGAGAAGTATGGGATCTTTGGATTCAGTCTTTCTCATGGTGCTCTTAGTAAAAATTGGAATGGAATTGGACATAAAATTATTGGATTACTGCTAATAATCATGGTACCAGTGAGGTGCTTTTATTGGTTACTTGTAAGATTATTCTAATCCTGTATTCCTAGATGTATGATTAAATTATTTTATTCTTGGAAACACATTAGGTCTCTCTGCCTAAAGAGAGCATTGCTTTCACAGAGGATTTTCTTAAGGAATCTGGCTCATATTTATGTTAGGTGTAGGATAAGCCATGAAAAGCTCATGCAGCCTGCCTGTTTGTGGAAATTTGGACCTAGGTAAAATTAACTATCTGTAATGGTCTTATCTACCCAGCATTGGGGTGCCCTCTATACATGAGAATAGGCAGAGTATATCATTAATTAATATAAGTATTTCATTAACAAGTATTACTTTAATATCTCTGCCTACTATGCGTAACAAATACCAAAGCAGTAGAAATAATAATTAATAACATGATAAACTGTAAGGATGGTGTATACTGAAAAACTTAAGTGTCTTGAATGAATATATATATATGACTTTAATAATTTTGACTATAGGTATCTCATCAGACCTTGTCAACCTAAAGATGGCTGCCTGTTTGATAACAGAATGAGCCAGGACATTCAGTTCTCAAAGCGACAATGGTCTTAGGCTTTTTGACAGCAGAATATTCAAGTTCTATTGTGTATGTTCAGATATATATAAATATGCGGTAGGATTCAAAAATTCCCGGACTGAGTCTGTAACATCAATTTTATGAATTAAATTGTAGAATTAAATTGCATCTCAGTTGTGCACAAATCCACAGAGTGGGCAACACGTGACATAAGCAATTCTAGGCTCTTAAAACTATGTGCAGCTAGGCATTATCTTGCTTAGATATCCTTTCTGGAATCCCAGTGAAGTAGGAAATTATATGAGCTGTTAGGATCACATTCACAAGCCACTGAGCTGTTAGTATCTCATTTACTAATACTAGAGAAGATTGGTTATCATAGACTAATGCTTTCCAGATCATAATGCCTGCAGTGGAGAATTGTGCCATTGATCTGAGTCCTTGCACATCCAGGCACGGTCATTTGCCCCCAAAGCGAAATGACACTCATCAAAGCACCACATATTGTCACTTTTTGACACTCCATGTTTCTCCATGTTTTCATGTGGCATCAATGCCAATGGAAATGACTTTCTGGTGTTTAAAGTGGTACAAGTGATAGGCATTTGGATTGAAGATTCACTTTTGTGGGACTTCTGGAAATGCTTCACTGGTATCCAGGAGTTGCTACATCTCTAGTGCCTTTATAGTGAACTGAAACACAGTGTGATCCTTTTGTGCCTAGTGCACTATCAGTCTTTCAATTATCTGCTACTGATGATGTTTTGCTCTGTCCAGATTTACTCTATTATGGGTTGATACTGTTTCATGGGCACTACTTTCAATACCATGCAAAGTTAAGTTCACAACAATTTATGAGTCAAGCTGTATGGCATGCCTATCATTTTCAGCCCATTGATAAGCCATCTCTTTAAACCTGCAAACTGTCTAAATTGAAATCTGTAGCATTTATTTGGCATTCTTCTCATTCCATACTCATTCTTGCATCAATGAGTGCTTTTCATGTTCATGAGGCATCTGCTACTCGCTAGTTCATGTTTGTAAGTTTTGCAGTCATACATAATCGCATCAAATTTAAGTCATTAGCATTCCAACTCACTCTAGCTGTGTAATTGTTTTATATGTTTTCTTTGTGCATAAATTTAATGGTCTGTAAGTGTAGATGTGTAAACTATCTGCCTGTTTCTATTTACTAATTTAGAACTTGCATAAGTTTAAATGAATTCAAAGAAATTTAAAGTATAACTAATCCAGATAACTGTAGAAAGAAAATGCATTACATATAAGTCAAATCTTTAAATTGCATTAAAAATATTCCATATTATTCTGCAGTTACCTTTTAATTGCATATTATTATGTTATGTATATATTTTTAGGATATAGTTACTGATTACATTCAAGAAGAGAATGGTCTACCAGGAGTGGAACTTATAAAAGCTGTTATGGCGAAAGACAGCTGATATTTCATTAAATGCATAATTCAATACAATTATAAATTCATGTAAATATTGTAAATTTTTTATATTGAATAAATTTTTCATTTAAGATTTCTTTTTTGTAATAGTTTTAAATCCCATAAGAAATTTATTTTTATTGCCCATTTACCTTATTAGTATTGTTTGTTATATTGACAGTAATTAAGGGGATAATGCAAGGTTTTATAAATGAAAATGCCTTGGATATTTATTGCAAATACGCTCTAAGACATAATCCAGAAGAATTTCTACAAAAATTTTCTTCGGTGAAGCAAAGATTTTAGTATCCCAAAATCGCGATCGTAACTCTGGTCATTTCTTTTTTATAATTTTGGAAAATAAGAAAATAGCTTATTGACAGAAAATTGCATAAATCTGAAAGTTGCTTTAAAACACATTCGTCTTAAAATTTGTTGGATTCAGGGAACCCCTAAGACTATATATATGTAAGATAAATTTTTAATATAACTCTGTATTAGGATTTTAATATAGTTCTATGATTCATATATAATGTTATGTAGATAGTCTAAAGGCCCGTTTCCACTACTGCGTATGCGTTGCGGTGCGTATGCGTTTCTCCAATCAGCGAGCGAATTCACTTTGATTGACAACTGCAATCCGGTCGGTGTGCGGTGACGGATGACATACGGATGGAGTTCAACTTCTATCCGTATGTCTGCGGTTGCGTTGGGGTCACGTGGTGAAAAAGGAGCAATCAGGTGCAGTGACTAAAAATTAATGGCGGCAGAAGTAGCGATGAACGCTCGCTAATAGGGAAAGAATGTTTTGCTAAAAAATACTTATTTCTGAATTAACATTATAGCGAGAAAATCTGCGTGCTGAAAATGACAGCAATCAGCTGAATTTAGTTTAAAATGATAAGAAAAACAAGATAACTGCAACTACAGTACTTGTTCATTCAAGAAAATCAGCGGCAAAAATTATCATTCCAAGTCCATGAAATAGCAAAATTTGTTCTGATAATCATTTTTTAGTTCTGCATACTCATTTAGCTTTAATGAAAATGAATGTCTGACTATATCAAACTGCTATAGCAAATTAGATATGATTAAAAGATTTGCTATTTTTTTTCTTTTGAAACAGGTAAAAACTAAAAACGTTAATTATAAATTAAATTTGATAGCCTTTTAAATACTCCAGTTCATTGAAGAGTATGTTAAATTTGTATTTCCCTTTATAAATATATCTTTTTGGATAACATATATTTGTAAGCACATGAAATATATTTTTAGCAGCCCTTTAACTTCAATCGGAACGCCACTTTAAAAGATAATGATTTTTCCAAAAAATGTACTAGAAGCTGAAGAACAAACTCTGGTGAATTTTTCAGACAATAGCTGAAATAGGACCAAAAAACTTAAGTTTTAAGAATTGATTTACTTGATGATGTATATAACCCAAAATATGCATGCGACTTACGTGTAATCCTAGCTTAGTGGTAAAGCTGATGGTAACGATGTCCACCTTTCTGGAGTCGTGAGTTCGAATCCCATACGCTTTTTGCACCATGTCTGCAACTTTCTTACCTTTTTATTCCAATTTGATCTATATTCGTGTTTTATAATTTATTTCTATTATTATATGCATTAAATATATTGTTTTATTTATTTAAATTTTTCCCGCAAAAAGTTTGAAAATTATATAATACTAATTTAAGGCATATCCTGTACATATATATTTGAATTTAACAAACATTCTCTATTCGTAAAAAGCAAATTTAAAGTTAATTAAATTTAAATGAAATTTAATGCAAACAAAGAAATGATTAATTATTGCTGTGCAAGTATCAAAATCCATGAATAAATATATAATTCCAAAATTTATTAATCCTTAAAAAATTTATAAAATGCATAAGTGAATAATGGGATAGATTATTAATCCTAAAAAAATGATAAAAATGCATAAGTGAATAATAGGATAGATTATTAATCCTAAAAAAATTATAAAAATGCGTAAGTGAATAATAGGATAGCTTATTAATCCTAAAAAAAATTATAAAAATGCATAAATGAATAAAAATGATAGATTTAATTTAATCCTAAAAACTTATAAAATGCATAACTGAATAATAGGATAAATAAATTTTTGGAATTATATATTTATTCATGGATTTTGATACTTGCACTTGATTTACATATGCTCTCAGAATTTAAATGATATTGTATATTAGTTCGCAGCAATAATTAATCCTTTATTTGTTTGCATTAAATTTCATTTAAATTTAATTAACTTTAATTTTACGAATAGAAAATGTTTGTTAAATTCAAATTTCATTCCTTGCAGCAATGGCGCAAGAGAATTATTTAAATTTAATTTATTTTGAAACCTTGCATATATATATATATATTTTTTCGTTTCACTTTTATGTGAATGTATATACATGTGCTCAGACTTTGGGATGTTTACGACTCTAAACTTTCATTCCAATTAACATGAGACAGTATTAATGCCCTAAACATTTTTTTAACAAAAAATTACTATAATAATTGCTTTTAAAATTCAGTCCTCTCCTGCAGAAGCGCAGGAATTAATTAATTAAATATTTCCATTTTCTTTACCTAATGTGTGTATATATAAAGAGAAAAATCTTATTTTATAACTTCTTGTATAAAAAGAGATATGAATTAAAAAATGTTTAAATTAAAAATAATATTTTATGGATTATGTAAAAAATATAACTGCCATAGTGCATTTTAAAACTAACGAGATTTCTAATAAATTATCCAGCTATGACCCTGAAGTCAGCGGTATACAAGCATAGCAAATTTTGCTTAAATATTGTGAACCTTTCCTTACAGTTGCTCTGTACTTTTAAAGTACCAACTATTTTTTTAATCCCTTTAACTTTTTTATTTTATGTTATTTATTTGTTTACTTTTTCACTAACAGTACATTTTAGTTTTAATAATATATATATTATTTCATAATATTTAAGGCTTCTAGAAACACAATTTTTTTTTTTTTTTTTTTTTTAAATTTAGTTCAGCTTCTATGGAATTCGTGATGTTCATAATATGCATTATAACCTTACTTATCTAAAATTCCATATCAAATCCAAAACAAACAATACTCGCTTAAGCGGGAAAAATTCAGATCGTAACTTGCGAACTGCTTGCGCCAAAATATTACAGTGACACCTAGCGGCGGAAAATGAAAATATTTTACGCATACGCAGCAGTGGAAACGCTTGTACGGATGCCGTAGGCGTGTCTTCAATTGACGCAACGCGTTCGTACGCAGTAGTGGAAACGAACCTTTATATAGATACATAATGGAAAAGCTCTTTCGTCTAATACAGTCAAAAGTCGTTGATCCGGACCTCAAAGCTACAAACTTTCTGCACATGCATTCACTCATGCGCATATGCGTTTAGGTATGCGCGTGATACCTTTATGCATACGCATATGCTTGTATGCACATAATACGTTTACGCATGTGCGTTTAATGTATAACAGATGGTATAAGCTAAGCTAAAATTATCTATTTTAATGTTGCAGATTGCGTTGTTCCTTAATCTTTGAATTGGATCCAGCTTATTATTTTTTGCAGACTGTTAGAGCAATTTTATAAAAGTAAGCTTGAACTTTCGATTATGTCAAATAGAATTTCCGATGCTGGATACTGCCAAAGGATCTACAAAGCGAAAGCATGTTTCGATGTCCATCAAACAAAAAGTGGAATTGCTGCAAAAAATGGATAAAGGCATATCTTTTCTTTCTCTAACCATTCCGAAATCTGTTTATCAGTTTCACGCTGCTCTGGTGGGGAGGAGAACATTGCGGCACGCAATGAACTGGAAGTTGATTTGTCAGCACCATCCTTATCTTCAGGGCAGATGTTTTTATTTTATTCAGCTTATAGTTTATTACTAAATGTAGTATTTCATCTCCATGTACTCTGATATGATTTAAATCAAATTCATTATAAATATCACGAATACACATAAATAGTTTTCTGGTTGCAATTTTCTAATTTTGACTATGCGTAATGTATGCTTTACACATGCGCGCCTTGAAAGAAATGTTTAATAAAGTAAACAAATAAATATTAAGCTTTCTTTTTGCAAATGTTGATACCCTTTAGATCATAATTGTTCTTTATTTCATAAATTATGGTTTCATATTTTTAATTTTATAATTTCTGCATGCCATCTTACCAGATTTAAACTGATGATCTATTATCCGGAAAAACCGATAATCTGGAATCGCCGAAGTCCCGACGAGTCCGGATTAAAGATTTTTAACTGTAATAATGTCAAATTTAAAAATCAAAACCTTAACCAATAGAAATAAAGTGTAACAATTACTTAACTAGCTTCCATATTGTAATCTTTTCATCTCAGCTTCTCTGTATAAGCGTTTCCTGCCAGCATTCATTCCACTGCTTTTCTTTCTTACTTCAAACATATTAAAAAAGTATGAACAATGTAAAGTAAGTAATTGCTGAAGATCGGGAGCTTGACTTTAGAGTGTGTACGTTTGCTTTGAGAATATTTTGCAGAGAATAAAAGCAATGTTCTACAGGCTACGATTGCAACCCCATTCATGCACCAGATACATAATGTTCTATGTCGTCCACATCAACATTTTTATGTATATATAGGGTGTATATGTATATGTATATATAGGGTGATTCTAAATTTTTTTAGAAATTAAGAAGGGTGATAGTACTCATCCAGACGAGCAATAATTACCATAGAACATAGGGTCACATTCCATTCTGAGAGGTAGAAAAGAGAAAAGTAAAAATGCATCGAGGAAGAACAAGGAGATTATACCCTAAGACAATTAAGAATTAATAGTATGCAAATTTGCACTGAGAAGAAACTTTGAGGAATGCTATGCCGGAGTACATGTATGAGGAACTGGCAGATATTCACCTTGCATACGGTGAAGCAAAAGGGAATGGATGCAAAGTACAACGATTGTGCGAACAGTGGTTTCCAAGTCATCCAACCTTTTCCAGTGTTGATCAAAGAATGCAAGAAACCAGTTCTTTTGCCATCTCAAAAAGCAATGTCGGACGTTCGCGAAATGCACGAATGCCAGAAATGGAAGAGCGAGTTCTCGGTATTTTGAGCACCTTTTGCAAGTTTTTCAATGAACAGTAAATCAGACTGCACAAATTTTGTTCATTCGCTTTCCCAACACTGTTTAAGTTTAGGTTGGAATTCTAGTATTTTTTAGTTCCATTGGTTTTTCGCCATTGCGAATTTGAAATTTTCTTAAGATTTATGAATAACAGATTTTTCCATTAATGTTGATTAAATCAGCTAATTTGCTTATATTATTTTTAATTTTCATTATAATTGTTCTATTATTTTCATATTTTAAATTGTATGCAACTTTCTGTGGAAATTTCCCAAAAAAACATCTTCAAAATATAGTAGGCACTGCTTAAAGTGATGATGGCTTATATTCTTAGATATTTTGGTGTGTGTGTGATTATGGCAAAGCCTCAAGGGCTATCTGCCTAAGGGGAGGGATGCCTTTGGGGAGGACTTTATAAGGGAAACTGGCTCGTATACACATTACACATGGGAAAAAACCTCAAAAACGCCCATGCAGCCAGCCCGTTTGCGGGATTCGAACCTCGGACCAAACCAACTACCAGTGTTCAGCGACTTTACCTCTCGGCTGCTGGTGGGCTTTAGCTATTTTGATAACATTTAAGGATGAGAAAAAGTATCCTTCAAAATAGCAATAGAATGTAACTAATTTAATATAAATGCTACATGAAACATAAAAATAGGTACTTTTAAGCATTTGAATTTAGGGAATTGCAAAAGTTTGTTTATAAATAGTTCATAATATCGTTAATGCAAAAGTTGACTTATGAACTGTTCATATCGTTCCTGAACATTATTTGACTTATATTGTAATCTTAACCCTTGGAGAACATCCCTCATTGGTAAAGAATTTACCAGTGTAAAATTTAAAATTAGGTAAAAAAAAGCAATTACCGTAGATGTCGTTTAAGGCCAGTTTACATCTGTCAAAGCAGCTCGTAGCGAGCCGCTCGTCCGGGCGTTTCGAACCGAGTGAACGAACCTGTACTCTGATAGATTGTTTACACCAATCAGAGTGGACTGACAACTCGCCTCCGTTTGTTTACGAAATGGATACCGACGTCGCAGCTGCAGGAAAGAATATGCATTGAACATACATAGATGTTCTTAGGCTGCAGTGCTTGAAGTCTGCGAAACAGTTTCAAACAAATTAATTTCTGCTCTTGGGAGAGGAAAAAATAAAGAAGAAAAAAAAAATGGGTACGTGATTAAATCACGTACCCATTTTTTTGCCGTGATGAATTAGGAGTATCAAATGAACTATTAAATGAATTTCGGACGAGAACGTCCAAAGTTACAAAAACGGTATTGCATATCAGATACAAGAATTTAAAAGAAACTCAGTTTGAGAGAAGTTATTTAGTCAACTGTGGTTACTGAAATTCAAATTAACAAAGTTTTCTACTATATACAACTGTTTATTTACACCTAATTAATCATTTACAAAATAATGTAAAAGTAAAAATGTGTTTTATTATTTATTAATAGAAAGAATATATTTATTCATCCAGAATCCACAGAATCAGTAGCTCTCTGTGCATGAATTAATTATACAGAGTTCTGTCTGGAACTGTGTTATTTCTAGAGAAGAATGCAAAATTAACACATGGAATATTTATTCAAAGCTACCATTAACATGACAGAAGTAAACTGTATAATATCTACCTAATTATTCAGAAAATCTGAAATAAATAAGAAGCAGCAAAAAACTTGGGAGCATTACATATATTACCACAGGTAAAAGAATATATATATTATGACATAGTTCCAACAGGAAGATATTTATCGCAAATTGTTACTTTTGGATCCTACTGAAATTGTGTTTCTGGACAACACACAAAGTGATATCAACAAAATTAATAATGGTTAAATATACTGATTATACTTTACTTTTAAAATGCTAAAACGGATAGTTTAAGAAGATTAGAATTCATCTAGCATAATTTGTATAAACCTTAATACACCTTCAGTACTTGCACTCATACATCCAAGCTGAATTGTAATGAATTATAGCCCAGAATGTTTTTATACAAGCAAGAAATTTAAATATCCCCAATAAAACAGATCTACATATCTTTTTCATAATTCCATTTTTATTTTTGTAGTTTATAATATATACTTATTGCATCCTCATGTAGGGATGCTCGTAGAAAAATGAATATAAGCTCACATAATTATAGAAGTAAAACACTTCATAAGATACGTATGCATTAAAAAAATGCCATGGTTAGCTATTGCTTAATCTTGGCATTATAGAACTCACTGTCACGACGCCCCTGCGAACGCTGCTCGGAGTAACTGCCCGGAGAGATTTTTTAACAGGTTCAAAGTAGAAACGGAAGTGCTGACTCATCTCCCCTACGTTTCTACTCCGTCGAAGTAAGCGTTTACATTGTCAAAGTAATCGTAAGGAGCGACTCGCTCCGAGCCGCTCTGACAGGTGTAAACTGACTTTTACCTTAGATGTTTTTAAAGAATTTTTATTGCAGTGAAAAAAAAATTCTATAGAATTTTTTCCTCACTGCAAAATTCTATAGGATGTTTTTTTACTCCTGTAGAAGAGAGTATTGTATCTAATCTCTCTCAAAATCGATAGTTACTGAAAATCTACTTCAGACTAAGGTTGTTCTTTTGCCTAATTTGAAGTGATTGGCTAAAATCGAAATCAAGCTGTTTGGTGACTTAATTCTTTACTTGGCGACATTTCTCTATCTCTTGACAATTTATTTTTGTTATCAATTTTCAACTTATGTGGAGACTTCACATCGGTTTAAAAAATTTATTCTGTAACACTTTGATCATATTAATCGTGTCATAATAAGCGATATATTTTTTATGTTTTCATACAAACAGGCAAACCTTCAACAATTCGATAACAATATCCAATTAACCGCAATCACATTAAGCGGCGTTTATTGTAATCTTATTACAAAATCCTAACGAGAACTCTGCATTACCATATATAAGTTTTGCTGAACTTCTGAAATCGCAGAAAAATTTCTTTCCGAATTAACGTCATTGTTGCCTGTCAGTGCCACAATGAATTTCGATATTGAGCGATCCCTTTTTAAAGGACAGGTGCCTTTCAATGGTTTTTTAAAAATTAAAAATTTTATGTTTTCATAACGCCTATGTAAAAATTCGCTCTAGAGCCACAGTTTGGGTAAAAAATAGTTCTAAGCTTTTCCAATTTAAAGAGCCAGATTGTTTATTTATATTTACATTTCAGCAAATTCCTTGTATTAAATAGTCTGAATTATACGTAGAATTTTTTCATATAAGTTTAGAGAAATATATAATTATACATGGCAGAAGATTTAAACCGTTAACATATCTGTTTACTGTGGCTTCCAAAAATTGAGCACACAATGAAAATTACCAATTTTCGAAAGAGCGGTCGAATTTGAGTGGCTCAAAATCGTTGCAGATGCAAATATCGCATGTTACAGCCAATCACGATTGTCTGTCCGGACATATGCGAATTAGACAGTCGTTGAAGCCGTACGCATTAGCCGATTTATTAAATGATGCTGATATGAAATACTTATAACTTCCGTAGGATTCGATGGCGTTTTGTATGGGGGGGGTGATTTATAAACTGATCAAGATGAACTTATCATCTCTTATTTAGTCGGAAAATTATCCTTCTCCTCATTTCCTGCCTTACCGACTGGACTTGAGTGTCAATCAAGGAAATTTCTATTCAGTCTTCGAGAACATCACTGAAGGGATGCCCTAGTTCTCTTGTCTAGCGCCCATTCTCTACCTTTTTTATGTAATCGATTTTCCCAGAGACAAGCTTGATCATTGCTGTATGTTATCTTCGCCGACGATACGGCAGTAACGGTCAGCTCCACCCAACCCAATACTTTCTTATCGATTTCTTTCTTCACCCATCGGCCTGTTTTTTCTGCCTTCTTTAGCGTAAACTTTTTCTGATCCATTTCAAATTTTTCTCAACGATGATGTGGAGGTTATTGCATTTAATTACAAAGGTACTCCGTAATAATTACGTCTTGGGTCCCAATCCAATAATGCCACCACCAAACTCCAGGATTGTTTTTAGCTATTAAGGACTGGTGCAGGAAATACGGCATGAGTGTGAATGCCTTTAAAGTGCTAGTGTTCCGATAGCGCAGAAGCTGAACAGCCTCTTATTTGACGAAATTGTGAACAGTGTAAATTATGTAAGTTATTTGTAAGTTATCATTAATCATTAAGCCCACATAGATTTGTCATATTAAGCGTATTATCCGGAAATCTTGATGTTTCGTCAGCCAACTTTCTACACTTCGGAAACCACTCTATACTGTTTCTCAACTAAAATGAAGGATTTGCTAATGCATTATAAGACCAATTCTGAGCTTGGTCAGTATATTTGCTCCCCACATGCTTAAAAACCACAATCTCGTAATCTATCTTAAACTGACTTTTACTCATTTTCTTGCGTTGCATGACTTTTGTCTGTCGTTGCTTTCCATTTGATTGGAACCTTTGCAATACAGGAGAAATTTCTTGACCGTTCTCGAAGTTTCACTAGCTGGCTCTTTTAAAAAACGTAATTTTCTTATCTAGATTATTAAGGTCCCTTCTTGGGCCACATAAGCAACTTCTTAAACCGTATCTATATGATGATACTTCTTTTTCTATGGCTGAAAGAAAACGAACGGCAAATAACGATCGCTGACGTGCTATTGGACGCATTGAAGCAGAACGGTCGATCAAGGATGTCGTTTTTTTCTTGATATTAATCATTCGATAATTTCTCGCATGCGGAAATAAATTCAAACAAGCCAAGCAGTTGTCTAGAGTGCTATGCCGAATTGATCAAGGGTTACCATACCTTTGTCCAAGGATTACAACCGCTATATCTATAGTTGAAGCGACACTTGATAAGACGGTATCTGTACGTCGAAGGCTTTACATGGAGGTATTGTATACCAGAGTACTAAGTGTTTGTGTTAACCTCCTAGAAGAATAAAATTAAAGTAGTGTCATCAGCATCAATATTGTAAAATATCTTCGGAACAGGGCAAGATATTGTGAGCAATAACTGTTGCGTCTCTAATATTAGTATACAAATTCTTTTAAATAATAGCTGCATGAAAATATGTTTGGAAAGTTTGCACGGAGCTTTTGTAGTATGCTTCACTGGATTAGTAGCATCGCAGGACAGTACCATATGGCAAAGTCCTGATGTCCCGTATGCTTATTCCTGCTTTATACTGTCATTAGCGTCTCAGTTGGACTGTCTCAGATTGACGCAACGTTCACGGATGAGTCCAGATATGACCTGAAATCGGAGCGAATAAAATCAGGTCCAGAAGATCATCGAACATCACTCATTCCGACATGGCAGCATCATGGTGTGTACTGTAAATTCAGTAGATTATCGCACCCAACTGCACATCTTGAAAAACGGTTCTATGACGTATGCACGGTACCGGGATGAAATTCTACATTCGTTGTGAGAATACGCTGCAGTAGTTGGTCCTGATTTTCTTCTTATGTTAATGCCCATCCTTTAGAGTCAACATTATTAACGAGGAACCGTTGTGAGACTATGCTGCAGCAGTCGGTCCTGATTTCCTTCTTGTGATAATGCCCATCCCCTAGAGTCTACGTTATTAACGAGTACCTGGAGATCGAGGGCTGTATTTCTCTCAGAGAGTGACCGTTGTAGCCTCCCGAACTTAATCTCCTTGAAAATATTTGGGATTTCTTTGGGCGTGCTGTCTCTACATGTTTAATTCCCTTCAACCAGTCTCAGGCAGTTGGGTGTGTGTGTGTGAGTATGGCAAAGCCTCGAGGGCTATCTGGCCTAAGAGGAGGGATGCCTTCGTGGAAGACTTTCTAAGGGAAACTGGCTCGTATACACGTTACACATGGGGAAAACCACGAAAACGCCCATGCAGCCAGCCCGTTCGCGGGATTCGAACCTCGGACCGAACTACCAGTTTTCAGCGACTTTGCTC